ACGATCTTGTCACTGGGGCATTGGTTTTGCCGGGACTTGGGGTTTGCTGAAAACATGCGAAGCTGTGCTCGGTTGATTGTACTGGCGATGAAATGCTACTACACACGAAACCATCACCCTGCGGTTACCGTCTGAGGTGTGCCCTGTAACAAAACACTGACAACGAACAATAAAATCAGGAACCTATGAAAGTCAGAATTCTAAAATAAACAGCTTTTGTTTTTAATTTTAACGCTGTCTTTGTGACATGATTTTGGCAATAAGTATTACTATCATCCAAGACTCCCAAGTACTTAAAGACACTTTCTTTTTTCCCAAGGTAATATGATCAATGCCGACTTCAACATTCTCAGTGCGAGCAAGTTTACGAGCTGTTCCAAGTTAGGCCTATGTACATGTATTGCGCTTGGAGATACATGTATTCCGTTTGTTACACTTGAGCCACGAGTTAACTCGGCCACGTTCGGTGTTCAAAAGAAAAAGAAAACGTTTCCTGGTTTAGGCAAAAGTTTGTAAAAACTGTCACGGCGATGATGTGTCAGACGAAAAGAAAAATTATAGTCCTACAGTGTAACTAACTACATTGTATAAGATCATAAAAAATCATATTAAACACGTTGGCGAATTAAAGAAAAACAGCGAAAAAAAATTGGAGAAAACAAAAACAAATTTGAAACATCCAAATTAGAACACCAATCAACCCGGATAAAAATTCTAAGAGCAAAACAGTCTAAAGGCAATTAAATTCAAAACAATGGCATAAAATGGACAAGAAAAATACCACCACAGGAGAAAGAAAATTACATTTACTGGAACCTTCTTGTTTTCCTACAGGTGCTTTTCATATAACTTTCCACAGGAAAAACGTGTGAAACACTGTACTTGATAACTGGGTTTCTGAAATGAAGTGTACATGTAGTGCCCTACACACCCCATATTTAAAGAAATCATATTAACGCCACAACAGTTATATTCAAGAGTGAATTTTCCCCCAGAAATACCTACCCATTTATTGATCATGAATCCCGTTCTTCAGGTAATTACAGTGGCGAAAAGAAAATAGAACCGGGGTAAATTAAATAAATCAAAAGTAATAAATGTACATGTATCAGGTTATATAAATCAGGCATGCAACTGGGAAATCACAAAAGAAAGAGGAAATTCAAATTTTTCACAGACTTTGTACAGTGTTTTTCTGTGTTCAATGGCACACATGGGAAGTAAAAAAAAAAGGAGGAAATCAGCTGATCTGAGGAAAAGTTGCATGCCTGATAAATGGCGTATAGGTTTTTGCAGGCGAATCACAATAAACTGATTTAAGTAAGCCCTTCGCAATTTTTGTTACGCCAGCCACTGTTGCAAATTGTGCACAGAGTACTCAGAGCTGAGGGAACTGGCGTTTCGTCGATCCTGCAATGTGAGTTAAAGCTACGGAGTTTAACACCTCCGGTAAGTACTAGTATTGCAAGTGTTAAATTCGAATGCGATCTCCAACTCCGGACAGCACTGACGCCAATGTTTTAACGTAAATTGGGTCATTCATATGGCAAGGTAAAACACTTTGAAAATGTGCAGAACAATAAATTAACAAACAAATCACCCGCCGTCTTTTGGTTTCCAGACTAAAATCTGAGTAAGACATGCTGACGGCTTCCCCCAGTGAATTAAAACTAAAAACACATAGCGCAGTGCAATAAATTGTCCAAGCGCTGTCGTTACAGTTCACAGTACACAAATGTACATATAAGCCGGTACCACACACGCGCGCACCGTCCTAGTGCGTACTGATTTTGGCACAGTTTTTACCGCGCGGCCCAGAAATGTAATACATTTGAGAAACCATCAATACAACACACAAAATGTCTGCGTGGTTAGCGCGCGGATCACGCCGCACGTTGTGCATAGATTTCAATATGAACACGGCAGTACATGTTGAGTCACTGTGGTTCATTGCAAATATGCACAAAGAATTTTGAAAATGCATATTGTTGTGATGGTTATTCGACGGACATGACAGAAATGGCAAAATGAAGGAAAGAAGTATTATTCCGAAGAACGAAATGAGTCTTTGTTCGGGACTGGACATTTCAAGTTTCCTGCATGGGAATAGAAATTTGGGACATAAATTCTCTGAAGATATAGGGAACAGAATATTCTATACCGAGAAAAACTAGGCGGGAAAATATTCTCGCAAACCAGGAAAACACTATTATAACATGAGGGGGAAAGATCTCTTCGGACCCATATACGAAAAAAATGATGCTGTGGTAAAGTTGCAAGTTTTCATTCATGTTTTTATTCAAAGAGGAATATGAACAGAGCCAGTTAAAAAAGGGCCAGTATCTTTCATAATAATCTGCTCTGGAGAATAAAAAAAAACACTTCCCAAAGAATGATTGACAGCCAACTAATAGCAGTGTCGTCGGCAGCATGCCTCTGTTGTCCAATTGACTTCTCGAATTACATCCGTGTAGAGTTTCTTTGTTGACTAAGGGTCATGGTCTGCAGCCAATTAAAGTAGGAATTTGTGAGATGGCAAGATGTGATTGGTCGTCGTTTGTCGTTCTGACATTCAGCTTCGTTCCACTTGTGTTTGATTGGACGGCAGTACTGCCTTGGGAAGTATTCTTTCATAGAACTGGAGAAGGAGCCGACTTTTTTTTACTGGGCGGGAATTTTTAAGGTGTAAAAACTTGTGCCTCCTTGAGTTGACATCATTCAGCCGCCAACTTGCGGGAAATTAACGGCGCAAAGACGGCCGTCCCAGGCGCAAAGCCCAGCCGGTATTCCGGGGCGGTGTGCGGTCTGTCTTCCCCGGCCCCACGCGTGGGATAGTTTTCCCCGCGCGTGGAGCCGTGCGTGGAGCCACGCGTGGGACAAAGCGCCAAATCTGTTCCCACATATTTTTCCCGCGCGTGATTATCGCGTGGAGCCGCTCTCCGTCTTTCTGTCAGTGCCCATGTGAAAAACACTGCGGCGTACACGCGATAACCACGCGTGATTAGCGCGATAAACACGCGGTAAACCTAGCTAGTGATAAAATGTAAATAGCGTGGTATGCGTGTTATCGCAGGAGTCTAAATTCTTTCGCTCCACACTGTATTAGTACATGCATCACATCAGTCTTTGTACAGTGATTAGTTTACAACCTGAATTTTCACAAAAAAATATAATACAGCTGAGTTCCGTAAAACAAAAGTTCTTAAAGAGATGTTTAAACTGGACGGATTGATAACAAAAGAGCTAAGTTTGTACATGTACATGCATTTCAAAAGTGCAAATCAGATCGCAAACAGATCTTTTATACAAAAATTATTTATAAATTTTTTGAAATTTGTGACTCGATTGAACAAATATCGTCACAAGTCACATAAGATATGTTTCAAGTTACGGGCTATAGACTCCTGCAACATCTTCACAACTACTTAAATAAATTTGGGTGCTTGGCAGTAGAGTCACTTCAGTACCCTTCAATTTTTAAACAAAAGTTTCTTCACTTTTTGAAAGGTACATGTGCACCCAGTCATGTTTTACTAAGGGAATAAATGTGTGCTCCGGAGGTTTTTATCACTCTGTTTAATACCACTTAGAGTCTGGGTGCTGATAATTACCCGAGCCGGAGGCGAGGGTAATTATCAGCACCCAGACTCTAAGTGGTATTAAACAGAGTGATAAATACCGACCGAGCACACATTTATTCCCATTCATAAATACCTTTTCGGTAAAAAAAGATCAAACAATTCGTTCAAAAAATCCTGATTTTGTTAACAAGTTCACTTCATGCTTTTTGAAACATCCCTCTAGCAAAATAATGGAATGTTCAGCTGGCAAGTAAGATGTAAACAACCCTTTTATGGAGATTGACGCGCGCGTAGCATGTTCTGCGCGATGTCGCGCAGCACGCACCTGGGGCGTTGCGTTTTGAATTTAGAACTATAAAATTCTGACTCGCTAGTAGTGTTGCGCATGCCTACGTGAGGACTGTGAACGTTCAACCAATAAAACGGTAAGAGGCACTGGATTTTTAGGAGTCCACATTTTATGTGACACTGGAAAAGTGTTTAAGACCAGCTAGCCATGTCTTTATCATCCGTTTAAGACCGGCCACGTGACGGGCTCTCGACCAATAGGAATAGCTAAACTGTCTGAGGTATTTATGAATATGCATTTGTTGGTACTTCTGAGGGCCCGCTATTGTTCTGAGGACCCATTATTGCTCCCTTTTTCCCCCATTGTTTGGACTTATGACTTTTTCTGGACATGTCCCATAATGTTTGTACACAAAAATCTGAGGACTTTCACCACTTATTTTGGTTCCAGATTATGGGATCGGGTACCCAAAACCAACTTTACAAATTACTTTTCAGACACTGAAAAAGAAAAGTTTTTGAATGCCCTTTTTGGAGAATTTCAAAAGGAAAAACATGATACATGGACAATCAAAACAGGTTTCACATTTATGTGCATTTTAACAAAAAGGTTTACAAAATAACTTGTCCAATGTAGTGGATGGCAATATCAGTAGCTGTCCAGATCTTTTGTCAACTATTTTTGTTCATCGAGACAAAAACCTGAGAGATTCATCAGATTGAAAAAATAAATCACGCTTTTTCTAATTATGCACAGACATGTAAATAAACCTGAAAAGACGGTACACTTCCTTTGACTCACGGCAATCAGTATTTGTATATTGAAAAACAAATCTTTCAGATTCTTTGTCCTGATTGGTTTATAACACGGTCACATGGGGTTCACTAAAATGGAAGCTAGTGTAGAAAATTTGCATGAGGCGTGAACCAGATGCATGTCTAGTATTGCGTGTTGAAGATTGTGCTGGTCAGGGCTATAGTTAAAAACAAAGCGCTGGATAAAGGTTAGTAAAGTCCATAACATGAATAGCGGCTTCGTGGACTATGGTACATGTATTATAAAACACATAATATATAATTATAGTATACAATTATTGACTGGAAATGAGGTCACTAGTGCATGTATATATACCCCCTCGAGGCTGTGACAACTTGTTCTATTTCCTCAGCCTTTGGCCTTGTACTAGAACCCTCTTTTGGTCACTCACATTCCCTCAGTGTGCATAGACGTGCACTAATGACTTCCCTGCCAGTCAATATTTGTACATATTGTTAGATCATAACCAACGTCCATGATGGCCATAGTGAATGTAGCTCAGGTGCCGTGCTGAATGTGGGCGGAGCATGGAGTGGTGGAGGAAATGGAGGAGGGTGATTTTGATGATTATTATCACTATGGGAACTTGATGGTAATAGTTTTTTTACTCTGGTTGCCAAGATTGCCAAGATTGCCAAGTGATTGGTTTAAAATAGTTGAAATGAGTGCAATAGGTAAATGTTATGTTAATCAAATATTATCTAAATGTGATTTTGTATGGTTTATTTATTTTTCTCCCAAATAGAAGACGAAGGCAACTGACAAGGTGCATTATAATAATTTTAAATGGATTAAACAAAGAAATTGGGTTTGAACCTGCGACCTTCGGATTAACACTCCAGAAATAATAATGTGAAATGACACATAATAGAAACTAGTGCTAAAAAAAACACCTGTTAGAATTTTCTTTTTTGAAATGGCGAGTTGTGCAAAAGGATTTGTGCTGATAGAATTTGTTAAACAAAGTACGTTTTTCTGGATGAAATTTGTGCACTGACTGGCCAAACTTGTTGGAATACAAAGTGGTACAGTAGGAATCAATCTTAAGTACCAATGCTATACATTGACTGATGACTAAATGATGATTTCTTTTCAGGCTTTATATTTACTGCATTTTATTTCAGTATAAATGTATTTGGACTCATAAAAGGCCTCAACTTTAACAGCATATGAGAGGGTCTGTCACAGTATTTGTCTCACATGCTTTTGTGGGGTTTCCCCTCTGGTTAGGGGAAAGGTGGTCAGGCCAGGAATGATGTAATTAGGGGCTCATAAATGGCCTAAGTTTTAACACACAGTGTTCTTGTGATGGTCTGTCACAGTATTTGTTTCACATACTTTCGTGGGGTTTGGGTCGCTTCCCCTCTGGTAAGGGAGACAACCGGACGGGCCGGGCATGATGTCCATTTCCCCCTCCTCCACCTCCACCTTTAGCCCCGCCCCCCTGCGAGCCATTTATCATACCAGCCACTGAGTTACTTTGACTAGCAATCATGGACCAGGCTTTGAGCCGTCGGTTGGTGTTCTGCCGGCCCTTGCCTGCCGCCTGCCCGCCCCCCATGGCTTCTAGCTCCTCCTTGTGCTGGGTCTTCATGCGGGCTTCAAACTCCAGGATGTACTTTGGGAAGAGGCTCCGCTCATCGTAAGCATTCTTCAGATCTTGAAAGAATAACAAAAGAAAAAGTAAGAAATTGAGTGAGGCAACTGCAACATAAGCAATAAGGCTAGGGCTATGTTCAAAACGGGTGTCCAGAGCTATGGCTATGTGTATTTTCAGCATGTGCCTATTAGCTTAAGTATTGAAAACATATACAATGGCTCTAGACAAGACAATACATTAGGATGCTGCCTTTATAAAACATAAATTAGTAATAAATACCTGTAGAGGTTACATGCAAGAACTGTTATTCAGGTCCCTATTCCAAACTAAAAGAGTGGTAAGACACAGTACATTAACAGTTTTCTTTCAAATTTGGATCTTTTTTCAGCTATTGGAACATTTGTTGATAGCAGAGTTTCTTCCCATGTGTCACTTCCAAATGGCTTGCACAATATTTGTTGATATGATGCACAGAATAATTAAGGGATGAAAATTCCTTGTGTGTGAACTGCAATGGACTCCGTTGGCTGGTTGATCTTCAGTAACTTGACATTCCTTATTAGTGATGAGGGTCCTCATTTCAGTGACATGAAACAAATGAGAACATTTCTATTCCCCCTTGATGGGATGCTAGTCCATCGCAGGCTACTCTCCAGCTAATGCCGGTACCCATTTATACTCCTGGGTGGAGAAGGGCAAGTGGGGGTGAAGTGGCTTTCCCAAGGACACAACATATGGCCAGCAGCTGGATTCGAACCCATGACCCTCTGACCACAAGTTACGAACTCTAACCCCTAGGCCACGCTCCCTCGTTAAAGCGTGCAAGTGCTGCCACCAAATTCATAAATTGTCTTCTACTCACTGAACATTTCCTCTGGTTCTTTGTCCAGCACTTTGACATTGTTCATGTCTTCCCGATCGCGGAAGTACCGGTGGGGATGGGTGATGAAATCTGGTTTCCTTAGCGTTCCGACGTCATCCAACTCTGGTACTGTCAAGGCCTGCAAATGTGTTTCAGAACAATTAGGAATGAGTTTCAGAGAAAATGAAACATAAGCAACGTGTTTTCTTCTTTGGATAGAGTCTTGATCCCCCCCCTAAAAAAAAAAACCAGAGTGATATTTGGTTTGTGTTCGCATATTGCTGGTTTTTTAATTAATTTTTTTATTGTTAACTAAAAAAAAAAACCAATACAACTTTGAAAAAATTGAAATGATTAATCCCAGGTAAAGAAATTAAAAGATCAATTCATCAAATGAGATCGACGCATCTACTTTTAATATTATTAGGTATTTGTAAATAAGCCAAAAACATTTGCAAAAGTTCATAATTTTTTATGTTGGCTTGTCAGCTGTATTAATATTCAACTAAGCGTTCCACAAGGAAGCAGCAAAAGCATGAGAGCTGTAATTGGAAGCTAAATACTGGCATGCAATGATTGCTGGCTGTTAGATTACTTCATGAACAGCTGCTACTCTTGGAACTGTAAGCACTAAACCCACACTGTCCTGTTTCTATTTCAGTACACTTGCCTGGCTCTCAAAATGCCCGACAGTGACTACAACAACTATGGAGCATCAACAAACTTTAACTTAAAAGGAAAATGAACCACATTTAAACCAGACTGCTAGCCTGCAGTTTTAAAGACTCCTTAAAAATACTGCCCCTTGAATTTGTTTGTTCAGTGGCCAACAATAGCAGCTGTTTAAGAACAGAGTGAAGATGATGACATACAAACCTGGGTCCACATGGGAAGTACCATCTTGTCAGGAGGCTGCTGGGAAGGGGGTCAAAGGTCAGTGCATATGATAAGCATCACTAATGAGCTGCAAATGAGAAAGACTGGAACTACATGTGAATGAATGCATGCTAGTTACAACTAAGCAGGCAAAAACTTGCTTCTGAGAATGTTCAGTACATGCTTGAATTGTAAGCGGAGACGTTTTGGTAATTCACCATTTGAATTGTAAACGACTTTTTGTAAGTATCAGTGCTATACTTCCCAACCAAGAAATTCACATAGTACTTTTTGGAACTGTCCAATGGGCAATTGAATGAAATAATTGAATGTAATTGCACCATACTACAAGTCCACTGTTTCAGCTAATTGTTCTATTGGACCGTTTCAATAATATTGCGGGAAAAAATGGAAGAGTCATTTACAAATCTTACACCAGAATTTCTTCAGACTTTTTTTTCATACCCGTGAAAGGTTTCCCACCATTTCCAAAACTGAGGTCTGCCAAAAGAATTTAACTTCCAAAAACAATAAAAAAATTCAGCATGGGCATCCTCCATTGCATGAAAACTTTCAAGCCTTTCCATGTTCAAACAGCAAGTGTTTTTCAAGAAGATTGTTATTTTGGTGTTTTTGTACACCAGAGTGCATCTGGGCACTTGTGGAGGACTCTGTTTTCTTCTTGGAAATGGGAGTTGGTAATGATGGGTGCTGTCATTTAATGGGGTGAGAGTTGATGAGGGATAACTATGTAAGAAGCATGAAGTGATAGCTTTAGTGGGTAAGATGCAGCCTTACTAAAGACCAGCTGCTTATTCTGCATTTTGCAATAACAAGAAAGTGTCCAAATGACACACATTGTTCATTGCATGGCTCCCTAGTCAGTTTGATGTCAGCATGCAGCAACGATTTCACGTTTTGAGGAGTTTTATGTAAGCATATGCCATGTCCTCAATGTACACTATGAACAATCTCATGCAAACTATACCAGTTTCAGTCATGCTACACGTCCTAGCTGTGCATTAAAGCAAACTGCAGATATGTAGACACGTCCATCACAAAAAGGTCAAATGTCAAAAGACAGGTCAATCATATGTCACATCCCAAGTAAGGCGGTCATCCCCTGTTACTTGTGACTGACTTGCTACTTTGGACTTGAGATGGACTTGTGTATTACCCTCCGTACCACCCAAATGCTCTATCTTCACTATGGTTTTATGAATCCATTAGGGAATAAATACAATGTTATACAATGTATACAATGTAATACAATGTAATACAATGTAATACAATGTAATACAATGTAGTACAGGTAATATTGGGTTGATATGAATGATTGTTCAGATGAGCTTACTGCAAACGGCCCCCCAGCTGGGTTGCCCATCGGTGCAGGCCCAGCAGGAATCTTCTCCCAGTGGAGATACGGCAGCTCAGGGATAGTCCCTGGCTGCTTGCGCTCACGTTTCTTGCTTCTAACTTCTTGGTACTCCTTGCCTGCCAAAGGAACAGTTCAAACATTCTTAAAACTTCAGTTCTCTCTGTTTTTATTGCCCTTCACTGAGGAAATTCCCTGCATACTCAGTGTTGTCTGAGAGCTTAAAGAGTAGAACTAGTTATGCTCTGCTCGAGTTTTAACGTTGTGGAATTGTGTTCCTTTTCAAAAATCTCTAGCAACCAGTAGTATACATCTCATGGCATTTCTTGTCTTAACAGACTTTTTCTATAAACTGAACTTTTCCTGTCTGCTTAAAAGTTTCATGAAATTGGACTCCTCAAATGGAGAACATTGGTTTCCAAACCTTGCTTTCATCTCCAGCCCAAGTTCAGAACAGATATTCAAAAGCATCACTGAAGGCGCCTAGTGCTCACCCAAAGACGCTAGAGGTTTGTGCACATCTAAAATATAATAAGTTGTGTGTCCTTTGCGCCATATGCGTACGAACCAGTATGTGCACGCGGTGTGTTCCTCCCACTTGGGTTTTGAAAAGTGGTCACTGTTCGTGAATGGAGCCCATATCGGAACCTAATCCTGATTTCTAAGCGGGGACAAGAAGCAAAGCTTTGGAATACTAAGCATTGAGTGCCAACCTCCATGACCTGTGACCTGCGAACTCTGCACCTACCAAGCCTAGTCTTCTCCCAAGTGTTGACCTTGGTCATCGGATCCATCAAGATCTCCAGCATCTCTTCTGTCATCTCATCTTGGGTAGCATCTAGGGCCTCACCGCTGTAGGACTCCCCGCTGTCTGAATGCTCGGCCTCATCCTCTGGGTGGGGTTCCGGGGGCGGGCAGTAGGGCTCGATCTTCCAGTGGTCCTCCTGTTGGATGTAAAAACAATAAGAGCAATTGACAATACAGAAGAGTGCTGCCATACCAACCAACATCTCCCTTGGCTCCCAAACTCTGTGTATTTTAATAAGCGCTGGAGAAATTTTCTATAATGACTGACTCCTATACCGAACAAGTTTAAGTGCACCCAACTTGTGTTTGTTATAGTGACTTTCTAATGTACAGTGAAAATGCATCTTTATATTCTCAATGCAAAGCAAAGTTTTTGTTTCAATTCCTTCTTTCCCAAATGTTTCTTAATCCGTTTGAACTTGCACTCTCTTGTGGTAATAATTCTCATGCTGTTTTTTCTTGCGATACTTTTGTTTCGGCAGTTTAATTTTTGAATATTCACAAACAGTGTCCATTACACTAATTGCCAACAAGTACACCATATGATGTATCACACAAATTCATGCATTATTCTTTTGATAGCAGAGCTGTTAAATTGAGCTAGGCTTTTGTGTGACAATTAACCGTACCTGGCCAAATGTGCCGATGCATATACCATAGATGTCCCACACCTGCACGCTACAGTCTGTGGATGCTGAGATGATTAGTGTACGATCGTTCCTCTCACAGACCAGGAGGCTGTTGATCATATCGGCATGGGGCTGCCAGGAAGCAACCAGAGCTGAGGAGGAAAGGATTATAGAGTCACTAAAATGTGCATAAAGTTAATGGTGCAACTTTGAAGGTATCATTCAAAACGAGGAATGTTTCTGTTCTGAAATATGACTATACAATTCTGTAACTGCACCACGTTTTACAGTATTATTTGAGCTCCAACTCAAAAAAGCAAAGTTTCAGTCTTATTTTTCAGTGCATGAAAAATTGCACATTTCACCATAATTTGCTAATGCTCCTATGGCCAGCGTAGAAGCCATGCAGTTCATACTCGTTGTGAAAGCAAACGTGAACATGAATTTGTGATCTCACTGCAATTATTTGTGCTGCAACTTCGCAACAGTTGAAAACATTTCAGTATGGTTTATGAATTTGTCAGAGAATAGACACAATGCAAATGCAATCCAATACAAGTGCTTCTAAGTGACTGGACCTACGTGGGGGTTCTGTAATGATGGTTTCTGGATGTAGAACACAGTATTCCTGGATGTTCCACACTTTGATAGCGCCGTCCGTGTCTCCTGTCACCAACATGTGGTTGTCTTCACTCACGGCCATGACAACAAAGGACACTGTAGTCAAGCAAAAAAACGAATAGAACAAAATATATCGAATAAACAAACATATCCTCTCTCAGTGCTGCCAATATAGTGTCTGACATGCGTGCAGAGCGCCAAATTCATAACACTGCTGAACAGCCGATTCTGGGCTAACTGCGCTTCCATCTATTTCATGGAAACCTGAGGAAAGCTAGAGGGAGAAGGTGAAGAAATGTTCAGTTTAGAGATGGGAGGAAAATCCCAGAGGTATTTTCCAAGGGAAACCTACGGAATCCTGCAGGGATGAACACCCAATCAACCAAAGCTTACCATGCTTATGCGCGATGTACTCGGCCAGCAGTGAGTTCTTGGCAGTGTTCCAGAATCGGACCCAACCATTCCCGCCGCAGGATACAAGGTTGGCACCCCCGGATGCTGACTGACCCTTCCTAGCATCCAGGAAAACCAGGCGAGTGATGATGTAATCATTCTGATGGACAAGAGAAAACAAGAAGCGCACACATAAATGGAGAGTTTTTCAAATCACGGCTCTGCCTCCAGCTTTGCCTCATCTATGACAACAGAATAATGTTAGACCGTCTACTACTTGTACCTAATGAACATAACAACATTTTGACCTCTTATTATTTGCCCATTTTCCAGTTCAGTCCTCTACACCAGTGGTACTTTATAAGTGCTGTTTGCTGTAAAGAGCTTTAGAACAAAATTTCACAATCTTCCTAGGGTGTGATGACTCCTGTTCACCGGTTCAACTTAAATGTAGCAGTTCTTACCTGTTCATCTTCGCTAGCATCACTGCCTCTAGAAGTAGGCCTCTGCGGCTTGCTCCCCTCCGTCCCGTCGGCTACCGCACCAGGGGGTCTAGACAGTGCTGAGGTCAGGCTCTGTGATTCTAACTGCCGAGGGGATACGGACGGCTGGGATGCAGTGCCGGAAACTGTGGTGCCTTCCTTCTTCAAACCCTGAATTGGAAACGGACGGGAAAACATGAGACCCAAACGACAATGGAAAAATACGATGGACCCACAGTTAGCTTAAGTCAGAAAATTGACCGACATTGAGCCAGAGTCCCCCAAATCGGAATCCTAAATTCCCTTTCACGCTATCCAACAGCTCCAGGTTGGACCTGGATTCACCCTGAGATTTCAAAAACTCTTTTCTCACTAATCGGACAGCTTCTACGTGGGTCCAGCATTCTACAGGGTAACATCCAATACAGATGGAACCAGAGTTGAAAGGCTCTACCCAGGTAGAAAATACAAATTAAACTATGTAAGTGTGAACAGTATAACGGGTGGACCCATGTTTAATCAGCTCCGGTTCTGCTTACAGTGGACCCACGTCATTTTAACACAAATGTAGGTGAGATGGTAGCGTGAAATGCTCTCAAAATCTGGAGTCAAAGCTCGAGGCAAAACCAAAGGTTGTAAAATCCTGGAGCTCACCAATCGAGTGCCGGCTCTGGACTTGACGACCTTCTTCAGGTATCGCTGGCGCAGACGCCTAGAGGCGACCTCTGACCCTGAATTCCATATGATGATCTCCCCATCGTAGCTGGCAGTGGCCAGGGTGTGCGGGGCAGTGAATGCTGCCGCTAAGATGTCATCATGATGCTCCTGGAAACCGAAAGACCACTTTAATATGCGATATGATTCAAGAATGACATTAAAACTACATGCCCCTTGATGATAACAAAGGGAGACATGACAGACAGATGAGTGTCACCGCCGTTCTGTGCCTGGCACTCATGTGAAGACAATATGTGCTTATGCACATTCAGATGAATATACGTCGGGTGTACCGGTGTGAAACTAGGTCCGGTTCACTTGTGTGACAAATAGGTTGGGTTTATCAGTGTGAGGTTTACCAGTGTGAAAAAAAATGTTTGGTTTTCCAGTGTGAAAATAGAACAGGTTTATCTGTGTGAAAATAGTTATGTCAGATGTACCAATGTGAAAATAAATTGGGTGTACCGTGTGATCACACAGTACATATCATTGCTACATTGACTTCATAGAAACCAACTCATGTTTTTGTAAAGAACTTAAAAATCATTAGAAGATTTTAAAAACCTTTATGGAGAAAAGGGCTTATTGTTTACCTGACCTCCCTTCCACTCAGAGGGCTGGACATGAAACTGAATGAGTTGCTGATTTCTGAAGACCGTGATATATCTGGATTAACATAATCAAGAGCAGAAAGGCCAACTAAAACTCAAATTTACATACAATCAAGTTCAAAAAGCAGTTAATGATCATCCAATAATAGTAACAGGCAACTGATCATATAGTCCCCTTTAAATTATTCGGAAGACTGCAGGTTCGAACTTCTCTGTCTGCAACAAGATCTATTTGGAATGTGCTTTTTATCAAGTCACAAATTATATCATCTGATGGATTTGCAAGCTTTAAAAACAGTTTTATAAAACAAGGCATGAAAACTCAATGGCTGTTACAATCTGGAACCCTGTGTCACAAATCAGTAGGAGTAACAATGGGGGATCAAGAAAACAGAAGGGACTTTTTAAACAGCATTTTAAGACATTCAGCTACAACTCTCAATCCTTTGTAATTCAGCATTCTACAACCGCAATTTTCATTTACTTTGGAAGCAGCACTACATAGAGGGACTAATCTATAAAACAAAATGGAGGAGGTTCTTGAAGCCTAGTCCATACCTGTTCCAACCGATCACAATAAAGTTTCTCTTGAGGACCACAATCTGTGAGATGTCAGCCGGTTCCCCCATGCCGGCATTCAGAGTGTGGTGACAATGACCATTGAAATCCCACACCTAAAAGGATAAAAATCAGTGGACATATTCAGTGAATGACGTTAATTATTCGTGAACCCTAGGTCTGACTGACGATCCAGTCGACTTTGCCCAATACTGGATTTAGATGATGATCCAGTTATGCAGCAAGTACATGGAAAGCCCAGCCACGCTGCCTTATTAGTGCTAAATCTGAAGACGAAGACGTGATTTGATAAATCCTAATATTTTTCATTTTTAAGCCAAAAAGGCCTCACCTTAACAGTCCCGTCTGTGCTTCCGGTGAACAGCCTCGTCTCGCTGTGATCCAGGGCCAACGTAGTGATTTCTGAGTTGCCATGACAATTGATGAACTGTTTGACCTTTTGACCTGTATCCAGCAGCCACATATTGACAGTTGACCCTTGACACGCACTCACAACCTGCCAAAAACAAAACAATATTGGATGACTTTTGGTTTAGTTCCACAGAAGCCAACATGCAAGTTTGAATAAAAACTGCAACTGGAAAGCAACCAAAAAAGGCGGTCTTCCAAGCTTTACAAGACTTTATACAGTGTTTTTCAATTTTTAACGGCATAAGTGTGATAATTAAGTGTGATATTTAAATTAGAAATTTAAATTAGCTGATCTAAGGAAAAGTTGCATGCTTGGTTGTGATTTAGTCCATCGCCAGTTTTCACAATTTCGTCCCAAGTCTGCAGTCTCAAGTAAAGTCACAAGCTACAGTACAAGTGTGGTCACAAGTATATCACCAATCAATCCACAAGTCTAGTCTCAAGTAACAGGGGATGTGCAGTGACTATGGAATGCTAGTTGACTTTGGACTGGATGACTTGTGATTGACTTATGATTGACTTGAGATTGACTTGTGATGGACTTGTGATTGACTTGAGATTGACTTGTGATTGACTTGTGATTGACTTGAGATTGACTTGTGATTGACTTGTGATTGACTTGTGATTGACTTGTGATTGACTTATGATTGACTTGTGATTGACTTGAGATTGACTTGTGATTGACTTATGATTGACTTATGATTGACTTGTGATTGACTTGAGATTGACTTGTGATTGACTTGAGATTGACTTGTGATTGACTTGTGATTGACTTGCGATTCGTCACAAGAACACCGACTACAACAATTGATCACAAGTCACGTCACAAGTCAAGTCACAAGAAACAGGAGATGCACTGTTTCATTTGAATAGCTGGGCCTAGATGACTTGTGATGACTTGTAATTACTAGTGACTGTCTTGTGACGACTCACGATTTGTCACAAGTACATCGACTATAACAATTGATCACAAGTCACGTCACAAGTCACGTCACAAGTCACGTCACAAGTCAAGTCACAAGTAGAGTCACAAGTCAAGTGACAAGAAGCTGGGGATGCACTGTTCCATTTGAATAGCTTGGGCCTAGATGACTTGTGATGGCTTGTGATAACCTGTGATAACTTGTGACTGCTTATGAATTGTTAAGACTTGGTTCAAACTCTGTACAGCAGTCATTACCTGATTGAAGGTAGAGCTATAGATGGCACAGGTGATGGGCTTATCGTGGCTCAAGACGCGATCCTTCACTTCCTTCTTCATTTCCAGTAAGGCCATCTGGTAGTTGAAAGCCATGAAGAGACGATTGCGGTCTTCGTGAAAGAACATGTGCGTGGTCACTACAAAAAACAAACAACGAACCAATGAGTGACTGACCTTGAGTATCGTATCAGAAATATTTCACCTTAAATTTTTTTTTAAGAATTGAGGTTTTGGGGGTAGCTAAATCTATTCAAAGCAAAAACTTTCAAAAAAGACTGGCCAGAAATGAGTGTAGTACTCAGATGTGAATCCATCTCGAGTTGCTATTTTATAGACAGACAACTCAGACTGAGACTTTATATTCATGACTTGGACTTGACATTGAGGACTCACAACTCACAAGTCACATATTCTTTACCAACAGTACTATTTAAAAAAATTAAAAGCAATTTCAAGGTTATTTTTTTAATGATTTTTGTGCTATTCCAGTCATTGATTTCTGGGATACTACACGTATTCATGCATTCTTTCAAATGAAACATATGACTCGTGACTCAAACCAAGTGACTCATGACTCAGATTCAGACCTGGAAATTAGACTCAGATTTGAACAAATTTGACTGGTCACACAAAAGATGACCAGTTAAAAAACCTTGTATTTTAACAAAGCATTTTGTCTTTATAATTGCCGACTGTTTTTCACCATAGTAGGAACTTTTGAATTCACAAATGTAGACCTGTTGCAATTAAATTTAGACATTGTGTTTCTGTTAATCAGTATTAAAGTCTATGTGTTCAAAGCATATATACAATACAATTGATTTTCCTTTATCTCATACTTTTGTGCTTTTAATAATTTGTTGTGATACGTGTACATCTACAACCACCTGGTTTATAATTAATAAGTTACCCATTTTCTTTCATTTTTTTACATCAACATGTACATACTCAGGTTTCTCTGTGATAAACTGGGACACAGTTGCTTGTGACAGGAGACTGTAAGATTGAATAATAGAGCTCTACAAAATAGCGAAAGACAACAGTGCAAACAAGGCAATTTATGTACACCAAAGCATGGATCTGCTGGGAAAAGACTTTTTGTCCTTGTTGATGCTGTTTTGTACTATAAATAGAAACAACTTCAATTCTGGGATGTATGCCAAAGTGCTACAAAGTGCAAGCTCTTCAAAGATATGGAGAACCGTCCAGCGCTAATGCACTCAAACCAGGAATCTTTACAATTCCAGTGTGAAGTCTGAAAGACTGTCAAACAATCTTCCAGGATTTTAAGAGAACCGTTTAATTTCAATTGAGGAGTAGGTCCATCAGAAAAGGGCAACCTGACTAGATGGAGTGCAATGTAATCACACGGCCTTCTGAGCGTGCATCTGCATACTGGGATACACTCAACTGTCAATGACTGGCAGCTGCAGTGAGGAAGGCAAACAAGCCGTTGACCAGGTTCATTAGAATAATGGTTAGTAATAAGGCCTGCCTAAATAAATCAAAGAGTTTGAAGAGTAACCATATGGAGTGAAAGCAGTTTGGCTGATGAAATCAGAGAGAGGGGTTTTCTTATGCTGTTTACCGACATCGTGTCAGAGAGAATAATAATCAGTTGTCTATCCAACAACGGAGCATTTGACACTTGCCGGAATTGGACTTTCCAGTCGAGTGAATGGGAATGCTTGAGACAGTATCTGTTCAACTTTGAAATCTGAAGTGACTGCGATTCAGGATTTTTCTTAGTGAATGAGATTCGATCATTCTGGTGAAATGTGCTAGCCACAACAAAAATACCATGAATGAAACCACTGTCAACCTCAGACAGGACAGAAGTTTCGGGCCTGTGTTTTATTTCTTGATTTCCCTCATGGTTTTGACAGAAATACTGATTCTTATTCTCAACCCCTTGTGCTTGATCATCCTCCACCGTGTGCCCACCATCCAGGACACAAGCAAGGTGTTCCTGACTTCGCTCACCATTGCTGATTTTGCTTTTGGGATTTTCACCGTCCTGCCAACGGTGGCGCACTACATTGCCGTCGAGTGGCCGTTTGGAGATTTTCTGTGTATCCTTGTGGGGTCGATAAATTACGTTTTCTTCGGTATGAGCGTACTTTCGCTGTTGCTGTTAACGGTGGACCGCTACATCGCAATTGTCTTCAGCCTTCACTATACCAGGGTCGTTACGGTGAAGCGAGCGCGTATCTTCGTGTGCTGCACATGGGCGGTGGTCAGCGCCGGTCTCATTCTTTGGGATGTTTTAGGAGATTCAACGGTCCTGCTCTGCACCTGGAAGGATCCAGGGGAAGGCAGCGAAAACTTTTTCTTTACCCTCGCCGCGCTAGCAGCAATACCCGTTCTCTACGCGCACATTCTCTGCATTGCCCGCAAGCAGGCAAGAAGAATTGCACATGTAGAAAACCAAATTGGGAACCAGCTGGGTGATGGGTACCAGCGGCGACCGATCAGCATTAAAGCTCTCAATACCACTCTTATCATAACTGCTGCCCTTGTGCTGTGTTGGATACCCGATGTGGTGCGCGTTGCCCTAGGTCCTGAGCGGATGCCAACTGATGCAGACGTGTTGTGTGATCTCTTGTTGATGTCCAATAGCTGGCTCAATGTGGTCATCTACTATATCCATCAGAGAAACTTTCGACAGGCTCTGCATGGGACAGTGCTCTCTTGGATAGCTCAGTGCAAATGCCATAGTTGTAGCTGACAGTCTTAAACTCTTGAAAAATTGTTGTAATTTAACTCGATGCTCATCAACTGTCACATGTTTTGATATCTTCAATCTTAAATCTGGTTTTTGTTCAACTTACGAGAATGTGTTTGTTGTCATTAGTTAGGCCCTAGTGCGCACTTAGCCCAAATGGAACATTGTCATTGAAAAACATTTGTCAAAATGGTGGCGCCCTTATGCCAAGTCTACAAGTTTCACTGGTTGGTTAGCAGATGTGATATGTTTCCGGTAATGAACTTACGAGGAAGGTTCAAAACAGAAAATGTCTGCCCTGACAGGAACATTACGTTCATTTTGCGTGTCGTCCATTTTGGAAAAACATAGCAAACAACTAGCAACCTTTGTTGCTAATATTTGCCAACTTGCGCAAACATAGGGGCAATTCATTCGTTACGGACGTTGCATTCAGAGCTTAAAACCAAGTTGAAAAAAAAAAAAAAATACTTGCAGTGGAAGCAAATTTTATATATTTGGTACAACTCTAGCTTGGGCCTTAGTGTACAATATGACATTGTATGTTAGCTGAATTAATTAATGAGATATAAGCACTGTAAACGACCCTTATGCTTTATAGATATTTGATTTGCAGTACGCATTGATAAAAGTCAGTGAAGTTTCCTACAAGAACTTAATGGAATAACTATGTTGTGGTAGATCTAGGTTCATTCTATGAAACACCAATGAAATCTTACAAAAAGGTACATGTACTTGGATGTCATGGAAACATCATGCTTTTGTTGTTATGGACGTTACGTTATAACGTTACGGAGGGAAGTGATAAAAAACATATTGAATCATGGTATTCTATTAAAGTTCTGTGTGTTATTTTTTATAAAATATGAACCTTCTCTCTGCCTTTAAACAAAAACTCACAATAACACTAGCATGTTGGTTCCTTTTTTTATAATTGAAACAGGATCTTCGCATGCCCATAAGTCAAAATGTAAACCAATTTTTTGCTACAATAAGCGGGGATTTTCACTATTGTAAGCACAGCAATAAATTGGGCACGTGACAACAACTCTCTGAATAGGTTAAACTTGTAAAAGCATACCTCCTCATAATCTTTCAGTTTTTTTTTTTTTTCTGTTTCATTTTAGATACAATTTGTACTTACAGTCGGGTCCTTTAGGGAACGTCCCAGCAATTCTCTGCAGACAGACTTGCAGCTGTACATCCCAGATCCTCAGCACTTTGTCCTTAGAGAAACTGATGAGCTGACCCCTGCGATGGTTGAACTGTACATGCATGACAGGGGCCATGTGACCTCGCAACAACTGTAGGGTTTACAGTAAAAAAAAAATTAGAGATAATGCGAACTTGTTTTATAATGGGTTACACTTGATTCATAAGTTCTGGGATAATAAAAGACCTGATACAATAAAATGTCGGTTTTATGCTTTTGAAGTAGTATGTCACTTACAATAATTCAAGAAATACAAAATTCCTTATTTAGAACTTTCATCATATTTTTACCCATGTTGAAATTGTTATACAACAAAATATGGAGTGCTGAAATCAAACATATTGGGAAAGCTAAAACAAAAAGGTTGAAAGTAATACATTTTTGAGGACCTGTTTTAAGAGTTTAAGATTCGCAAAAAGCTATCTTTGGAATTTTGAGGATTTTTAAAAATATATTTATTGTATTTTTTTTGTTTGGGGGGTTTCTTTCAGGGAGATTTCTTTGTTTCAATAATTTGCACTTACCCCGACTGGTTTGGAGACAACGTAGGGATTCCATAAACACACATGGTGATTAACGCCTGCTGTAGCTGTGCAAAAGAAAACAAAACAGTGTAAGAATTTTCAATAAATTGGCTTTTGACTTTTTTTAGCTTATATCATAGATAATAATTAAGGACAAAGGGAAAAAAAAACATTTTCCTAACACTTAAAAATAAAACAAAAACCCAGTGAAAACCTTTAACTTACCAATAAGATTGAGCACTTCGTGGTAATCAAAGGCATTGACTCCTTGAGCAATGTTGAAAGAACTCCTAAAATACATACATTAAAAAGAGAGAGATTTTTAAACACCGATGTACTCAAAACAGAGGCCGAGCCAAAGTTCGAAGCAAATTGTAATAACTACTACTATCCACAAGTGGAGCTTGGTGAGTGTATAGTGCTGGGCTGAGCCCCAATTCCATCTACGTGTACATACAGGCCCCCATTCCCCTCTCATAATGATTCAGTAAGACTGACAGATCTTTAAGAATTTTATTGAAGGGGTATAAGGCCCAAAAAAAAAAGTCTCCGGTTTCTGGTGTGGAGCTTGCCCAAAAAGTGATGCGGCGACGCGGCTTTTTTTTTTTTTTTACCTGATTTTTTTGCTTCAAATGTCGGCTGATGACTGCAAATGGTGCCCGACTAAACTTAGTGCAAATATATGGGAGTCCAGAGAGGCCACATAAAGCTTATTCTCGACCATAACCCAATCTAAAAACACGTTAAAATTGTGCAGCAGCAGTATTCCAGTCAAAGCAGTGAGTTTGGCGGTTATGGGACATCATCTTTCATTAAAAAAAAACTTTTTCATTTTGCCGACGCGCATGGCTACGGCGACGCGCGCGCATACCAGAAACCGGAGACTGTTTTTTTTGGCCTAACATGTAGCAGAGAATTTCTAAAAGCCTCCCCACATGCTTCCAAGGAATTTCCCTGAAATTCTCTCTAACATTCATGGAAATCAGGTCCTCAGAAACACAAGGGCATGCAAACTGGAAAGTCACAAACAACACAAGGATATTTAAAGCTTAAGAAATGTTTTTTATGTGCTTTTATTTGCAAACACAAATCAAGTAAATCAACTGACCCCAAAAAAGTTGCATGCCTGAAAACAGTTATCTTGAAGGGGAAAAAAGCTGTTGCTCCTAAATATAAGAATTCAGTGAGTAAAAATGCTGTGGATTTTGTTGGCATCTTTCTAGAGTAAAAAAGAATATTGCTACTGCAAATAACAATGACAGGATTACTTACGAATGAATGAATGGTTTGCGGAAACACCATGTGCGAATAATTTCTCAACTAAGAGAATGGTTCTGAAAAGAATCAGAGGTATAACCTCGACGTTCCGGTCAGTATGCTCTGACCGTCTTAGTTGAGAAATTATTCGCACATGGGGTGTTTCTGCAAACCTTTCAATCATTAATATCTCCACCATGCAAAGCCTCAAATCTTACTTAGGATTACTTACGTTTTCATTTTCTGTCTAGCCTTCTCAATCCAGCCCAGCACCATAGCATTCTCGTAGGTGGTGGAGCAAGATATGAAGCAATCTAAATGTAGAGCGTATTTCACTGCAAGAAAGAAAAAGGAATAGAAAGATACTTAAAATACACGCCACAAAATGAAACACAAAGGTGCTTAAAAAATGTCAAATTAACCATATTTCATTTGACCAATTGATATTGTGTATTCTCACAGTGTGCACTTTGTTGAATGAAGACAGGTTTAATACCAAGTATGTTGATAAAATTTAATAACAATTATTTTGAAGATACAAATATATAAGACATACAAAGGCTGATTGTGGATCTGTGCAAATGCAGCTACTGTTTAATACAACAATCTTGGTAAAATTTACATAAGCAGGAGTCCAAATGCATACAATGGTAAGGGTTGAACCACTAGAATTTTCACTGTATTGGAGAAATCTTACCATGCCCTGTGTGAACATGGCTTTCCATTGCTACAGCATTACTAAATTCAATTTCATTTTCATGGAATTTGAATAGTTTACCTTGTCTGGCCCATTCCTGGTGGCCACTATGCCGCACCAACCGACAATACTTGAATCTGTCTTTCAGTAGATGCTTGAAGTTTACATTCACGACTTGCTCTGCAAAAAAAAAAGAAGAAAAATAACAAACAGTAAAGAATTGTTTCCTTTTTCTTTTTATGGTATTGTAGTCGAGTCTGTTACAAGTTTGTCACAATTCCTGTGACAAGTAAATCATAAGTCAATTTACACGTTTGGCCAAAGTGAAAGTGGATGAACAACAAAGGAATTCCTTTTTTTCTTAGTTCATTTGAATACTCTGTGAGTAGACTTGGGACTAGAGGTCTTGTGATTGGCTTATGATGGACTTGCGATTGACTTGTGATTGACTTGTGAATGGCTTATGATGGACTTGTGATTGGCTTTTGATGGACTTGCGACTGGCTTGTGATTGGCTTGTGATTGACTTGTGAATGGCTTATGATGGACTTGTGATTGGCTTTTGATGGACTTGCGACTGGCTTGTGATTAGCTTGTGATGGACTTGTGATGGACTTCCATGCCTTCTCAGGTGAAACTCGAATCCAAGACTTGCTGTTTTCTAGTGCAGGTGTCTTACTACTCACAGGGCTTGCCAGGGTCAGCTGGCCAGCTTGACTCTGATGTAGCAGCGAACCATGAAATCAGTAAGGGGTAAAACCCCAAATCAAAATTAACATCTCCCTGATGCAAAATTCTGCGGAAAGTTGAAATACCTTGTCCCTCCCCCGCTGTTTGCTGGGGCCTGTCAAACAACGCTATGATGGCCGATGTAAACACGAAGGCGTTGACGTTACCGCCTGTGTCTCCCATTACGATAATTGCTTCATTAGAGTTGTTGGGGTTACTCCTGGATAGGAACAAATAAGGGAAATTCAGTGGAACAATTTTCTTAGTCTCCAAAAGATGTATATCTTTCATCTCAATGACAGCTTTGTAAGAGTTGTTTGGGATGCTCCTGGACAGAAAAAGAAAATGGTAGTGGGGCAATTCTTAGATCCTTCACAAGAGGTCTAATGCTATGAAAAAGCAGGGCTATATTTCAGGTCAACATAATTTGTCGGGTCAATTTCATGAGGTTGTTGGCTCAGAGCTGTGTCGATTACAGAAAATATTTTCTTCGCAAAAACAAGGTAGCAGGCACAAAAGCCACACAATATATATGTTGCTCACAAGTGATGATTGTCTTTTTTTTTTGGCTGCGCAAGTAACACGAAGCAACATTTTTTGTTTAGCAGCGCCAGCAATGATATGGTGTATCAAGGTTTATGGGGTTTTAATACTTCCCCACTTTTGTTTTCTTGGTTGCTGTACCTTCTCAAACTCTGTAGCATTTCCAATGTGGAGCAATAAGATTTCTATTGGCTGAATTGTAGGTCATACTTTACCTTTAGAATCTCTTTGTTTAAATTATTTGTAAAACTACTTTGGTTTTCTCACCAATGATCCATGCTTAGTGGAGTGTGCTCCAGGCCATAGACTCTGTACTGGCAGTTGAACTCAAGCTTGGAACTCAAATCGTAGAAAACTTGAAGAAGAAAACACAGTAAAAAAAAAAGAGTTGTTATAATTCTTCCATTCCTAAGAGAGGATCTCAACAGAGGCAACAAGCAAAAATGAAATCTAGGACTTTGTCAATAGTATTAATGATATACAAACCACAAAGTGAAATCTTGAATTTACTAATCTCAAATTGTTCATTTAAAACACCATAAATGAGACAAGTGCAAGAAAAATTACTCAGGTGTAAACTTTCAAGTTTTCATCCAAATAATTTTGAGTGCGTGTGCTGCATAAGTTATTCGATGTTTGCATTTGCGATTTGAAATCCTATTTTAAGGCACATCGCCGAAGCTACAACTGATTAGGTTTTCTAAGTATTGTAAAAGGTTTTTCTTCAGAAACACAATAACATACCGATTTCTTTGCTTGTGAACGCCAGGGCTATCTTGTTGATGTTCTGCAACACAACGAAAGTGGTCACCCACATATCTCTGGGCTTCACTGCATCATTGTTTATCTGGGAACACAAAAAAAAGAAACAATTTCACCATCAAAAGGTTTAAACTGATATAAATGAAAAACAAGATTTAACATTTGTCATTTTCGCAAAACATTTACCAACTGGATGTACCGGTATTTCGTAAATCACCTAATCTGTGAATTACTAAGAGTCATTTACATCAAGAATTTCCTCCTCTATTTTCCAGAATTTCTTAATTTCATGATGTCAACAATTGAAGTTTCATTGTACTGTCAGCTGTTAACCTAGAAAATTTGCTTTACTCTGAAATTCACATAAAATATGAACTTGTGCTTACTCTGATGGATTTCATGAGGTGAAGTCTGGTATCCCATGTCGATATCCCTCCTTCCTTGCTGATTGCAATGTAACGGCCACTGTTCTTCAGGAAAGCCATTTTCTGTAATATGTCCTTGTGTGGGCTGGGTAACATCTTAATGTCCTTCCACTGGGGGACCTGTAATAATAAATAATAATCGTAGTGCTTATATAATACTTTCCATCGTATCAACAATCTCAAAGCGCTTTACAATTATTACCCCGTTCATCCGGCCATGGGACCACGCGGCAGCCGATATCAGCGCTCAATCGGTCCTCGACCCTCACGGTACCTATTTATACTCCTGGGTGGAGAGAGGCAGTTGTTGTTAAGTGTCTTTACATGAGCACAAACACCATGTTCCTGGCAGGATTCGAACCCACGCACCATCAAGATCAAGATGGCCGCAACAATTGACTAACCTGAGTTGATTTGACTCTGTCATCTTTCTCAACATACTCCAGCAGCAAATGGGAGGCAATCTTGTCCTGTAAGAAGGAAACAATACATGGTATTCTTAGTTACTGCAGTAGCCATTGCTGTTCGTCTCCTATATATCAGAGCAAACGTGTGTTTGATGAACTCTGTGCATGGACACACTGCAGGAGTGGATCCAGCTATAGCTTGAAGGGGAGGGGGTAGCTTTTAGGGAAGAGGTGGGGGTAGCCGGCATGTGCAACATTTTTCTACAGGATTTTCCTATTTCTTGCAGGATCTAAGTTTTCCTATGTTATACATGATGATGTACATGTAGGGGTCTAACTGTGTGATGTTAAAAGTAGATACAATGTTACGGCTATGAAGGAAAAGAAGAACAGAAAATGAATGCCATACCCAGTCGACTTTGCCCTCCTTTGTGACATCGATCTTGTCAAATAGATCTGCATACTGTGCATACAAATGAATGACAAAAACAATTTCTAACACAGCAGCTACTGGGTATTTATAAATCGTTTTTAGTAATTTTGAGGGATTTGTAATTCGAGGCAAAAACAGAATGCTTGAAACTGCAAGAAGACAAAGCTTAACGAATAATATAATTCATGTATAGATTGCAATATATATAAATAAAACCCAGAAATATTGGAAACAAAATCAAAATCTAATTTTCTTAAAAACTCTTTGAACTTTTCTGTAATAATTATATCCATGACTGTGGGAACTGCTGCAGTCATAAAAATTCTAGAATGCATACATTTTGCATACTGTGTTTTTTTTTATTTGGTATATTTTGTATAAGTCAATGGAAACATAACACAATTTACTAAAAAATAAAAATATAAGGCAGTGTCACACAGCAAGTATTGGAGAAAGATTAAGAATTGGGGGATGTGTGTGCAAAAGCCGGTGTTCAGAATAAACTTCAAACAAAGTTGTAGAAGTCACTGAGATATCAGAGGTGGTTTTTGTGAGTGAACAAAAATAGGCGAGTAGAGAAAAAATTGTTTGAAGTTTTGAAAAAATATGCAATTTACCACTCTTCTTGAACCAATTGGAGGCTTCGGAAATAAACAGTTATCAAAATACTCACTTTAAAAACAATAACTATTAAACACCAAAGACAAAAATACTGATATAATGTATATATTTCTCATGCACTGGTATTTTAAAGCAAATTTGTCTAGCCCTTCAGCATTTTTCAACAATTAATATCATGAAATTTGACTTCTCAGCCAAAATTTGCTGGCTTTAATACCATTTTGATAAATCACACACATCATAATGCCCATAACAAAGCACACACAACCAGCATCCAGTTCAGAATGTCTTCCCGGAGTTGCGCTAAACAAAATAGTACTAGGAGTGATTCAGATTGAGTCAAATACATTTTTGATTTCAAACAGGTGAACTTTATATTCCATTGACTAGTCTCTGTCGTCATTTTCAAAGACTGCAGCACTTGGTCTTAAAAGTTTGCGCTCTTAACTGATTCGAAAGTCAAACATTTCATGTGCTTAATTCAAATCTTTAGAATACTGTGGTATGGCGCGACTTTGAATTGCCAGTGACCATCTTAAATCTCAACCTATCACTGGTGAGAGGTTATCCTGTTAAAACTTAAGAAAGGCTCAAACTTAAGAAAGGATTCTTTTGGAATACTGACGCCTACCTCCTCTGGGTTTCCTTTGGTCAAGATCCGATCCAGAAGGTTGCAAAAATCGTCCTTCTCAACACTGAGCCGATTATTGTAGCCATCACCATGTGCCTTCAATATAAAAAAGCATACAAGTACTATAATGCTGTAACCGCAATAAGGCCAAAAAAAATAAGTCTCCGGTTTCTGGTATGGAGCTTGCCCAAAAAGTGGTGCGGCGACGCGGCTTTTTTTTTTTTTTTTTACCTGATTTTTTGCTTCAAATGTCGGCTGATGACTGCAAATGGTGCCCGACTAAACTTAGTGCAAATATATGGGAGTCCAGAGAGGCCACATAAAGCTTATTCTCGACCATAACCCAATCTAAAAACATGTTAAAATTGTGCAGCAGCAGGATTCCAGTCAAACCAGTGAGTTTGGCGGTTTTGAGACATCATCTTTCATTGAAAAAAAAACCTTTTTTCATTTTGCCGACGCGCATGGCTACGGCGACGCGCGCGCATACCAGAAACCGGAGACTTTTTTGGGGGGCCTAATGCTGTAACCGCAATAATATGACCATGTGTGCTGAGAGTGACACTCAATAGCCTGTGCAGAGGGCTGTAAAGGTGCCTTTGTGTGTGATATGAATTTTGGAATAATAATTATTTTGATAAAACTTTGAATCAAACTTGCTTTTGCTAACAATTTGAGAAGATAAAGGTAAATAAACACGGAAGAAGCAGATAGACATGAGACCAAACCAGTTTCTCTTCCTGCCTACTTTTTAAAATATTTTTTTATGTTTTTGGCTTTTCCTTCCGCATAATTCCTTTACTATTTTAGTTCGGCTAACAGGAACAAGATATTTGAAAGGTTTGTCTCAAGAACACAACATGATCTCTCACTTTTGTGTTTTACTATGGTTTCATTTAAACTGTTTACAGAAATAGAATGAGAGAAAAACTACAAATGATTTGGAAATAATAGGCTTGCTTCCTGCTTTGCAACCTTAGCATTTCTTTTTGTGTGGGGACTTGAAGAACAAATTGATCACATCTCTGATATCTGTGGCATAGCTAAGTGACAGATCACAGAAGGAGAATTACAACAAAAAATTGAGAAATGTTGTTCCTTTTTCTTTACCATAAATGCTTTCTTCAAATGCTGCAGGTCTTTGATATTGAGTCGACTCTCAAGTTTGACCCCAAAGGTCACGACGCCACCGCTAGATGCTACAGTGTTAGAAGGCTTTCTGTGAACGGAAAAAGAAAAAAAGAAAAATTTCTTCGTAATCATGCATACATATTGAATCTGCCAATGCATTAATTAAAGGTACGGTATCAGACAAATCACTAATGTTATGGCATGCCACAATCGTAGCAAAAATAAAATGCTTGCACACTTGCACATGTTCTCCTTGAAATTTGTGCATATTTTTTCAGGGTTCACAATTACACTAACAAGCTGTTCTGGTCAGTCAAGAAATCATCCCCTTTCCAAGAAACGTCCACAAAAACGATCTTTGTCCCTTTCTTCTTAATCTTCTTAGGTTACAAATCTGTCCAAACACTACTCCACGAAGCTGTAGCTGACTAATTTATTATTTATGTATAGAATCAATAAGTCTTACGGTACAAACACATGTATAATGCAATCAATGCAACAAGTGTTAGCACATGTACCTCTTTTGTGTAAGGTGTGGTTGTCAGTTAGCCTTATATACCTCAGCGGATTACACGATGTTTACAGGGAAATTATATTAGTAAGGACAGATTGCATGGAAACATATTTGTAAATGTAGATCTAAACCACATCAGTTCTACTTTCAGGGACACAAACTACAACAGATTGTGCATCAGCAAAGGGCTAAAACAACGCTTTCCTTCAAAATTACCTTATTTGACACATTTCCGCACTGTGTGTATTGTGTACGTACTTGTACAATCGTGTATACTAGCAGTTTTGTTCAGTATGCTGGGTCTGCACACCCGCAATGTGTGCACACTTCAGTCCACAAAGAGAATGAGATACGTCCCAACGTTGATGGCATGTTTCCGCCCCCTCCCCCACCCCCCCACTGGAGGGGCTAGGCCTACTTCATGTACTTGTACTTGTGCACAACCTCCATAAATGTTTAGTCACGTTTAAAATATAAAAAAAAATCTCATACTTCTCTAGTTTCTTGTCGTCATCCTTGGATTTTACTGACATGGCGGCCACAGCTTTTATGGCAGTCTTCACTGCTGTACCAACCTGCTGGTTGCCATGGTTACTGGGGCTGCTCTCCCTGGGGGATGCCATGATTTCTGTGATTCAATCACCCTGTCGTAGTTGAAAATTAACAAAACGTTGAGAATTTCTTCATAAATGTATAAAGCAGTAAGCTGTACGTATGTGGGTATTTTTTTGAGGAAACTGTGAAAAAAAAATATCTATTTTTTTAAAAATTACTTGGAAAGTATGCCCGAATTAATTTCAATGTTAGTTATCAGTTACAAGGTAAGTTTTCTTTCTAACGAAAACATCAAATTGTGAAACAGTATGTATTTTACATTTCCAAGTCAAAATTTGAAATTTTTCTCATTTTTCCATTGTGTCAGTGGGGTGCAGCCCAGTAAAGAGGCAGTATATCTTGGCCCCATTTAGTCTGAATGACTACGAATCTATTAATCACCCTTTTTTACATTTGAACATTCATGATCTGACAATTGTCAAATCTTGTAAAAATTTAATGAAAAGATGAGTCCTAGGCCTACTTAATACTTGGACTACGCCCGGCCCATTGATGGGGCTAGGTTTAAACTCAACGTCAACATAGCTGGAGTTACCCAGCCCTAAATTTTATCATTGGGTTGTCATTTAAATGACAACCCAATGATAAAATTTAGGGCTGGGTAACTCCAGCTAACGTCAACAGATAATGCCTGCTCCCTCATTGCCTGCTTCCTTCTCTATTCTTGTTTTCATTGTTTTTTTCCTTTGAAAAACCATATTATTATTAATAGGTTTTAGCTTGAGAACCTTGATCCATCACCATGATGATCATTGTGAATTTGACTTGTAGAGCTGGAACTTTTGTGGATTTCAATTTACGCTGTAATGTAGCCAGCGGTAAAACAGTCATGACAGTGGTGGAGGCCGTGAAATTTGGCCTCAAAACAACCACTGAAATCATCATTTCTTTGGTCATGTTTTAGGCCTAGTGTTTTTGCTCTTTCAAGTCGATCCTTTAACATTACTGCACGAACATGACGAAGGAAAGCAAAGTCCTTATCAACTTAAAAACAGAAAAAAATGAAAAGTGTATTAAAACAAAATTTTACAAACCATCTCCATAGTTCGCTAACATTCGTATCTATCCGACGAACTAAGTTAAAATCAGTTGGGTTTTTGTTGACGATGTGCTGGCTGAGCGCCGTGTTCCACAACTGTCACTGACTGTGAATCTGGCAAACTCGCAGTTTCTTGTTTCTCCCAGAAATCTTTTGACAAGACCCTCTGAATGAGTCTGACCATGGCATAAACACGGTCGATTTTCTTTATTGATCCTCACACGAAGCGATAACATCAAACGATCATCTTGCTATTGAGCTGACAATGGTGGAAATCGAAGGCCAGCATCTTGCATATTACATTCTCCATGTCTGCAATTGTTCCCCACAAAATGTTGATCAATAAAAAAAAGAAAACGAACTACATGACGGGCTCAATCAAGCATGCAAATGAACAGATGGGGTAACCTGGAAACACGGTCACTTGTGCTGTATGCGACAATTGAGGGCGCTATTAATAAAAAAAATAACACGTTGTCCTTTAGTCAAAGCTTGGTTTCGTTTCAGATTTGGCTTTTTCATTAGAAAGCTTTTATGTTCCGATGCAATTAAAAAAAATAAAAAATTCTTGCTTCATATATCATACAGTTTGATATATCCGGGCACTTTCACACGGTACCAATTTACACAATATTTGTCTGCTTATTGTTTTTACCAGCTCTTTCGCATAATCAAATTGGCTAGATGGATTGATGAAAAGGCGTGGCCCTAAATACTTCTGACCAATGAGAGACAGGCCACGTGAGCCACACGTACTACGTCACAGACACCGCCTTGAATGCCTTCCTGTCTTACAAAAAAGAAGGGGAAAAAAAGAAATAGGGCATTCATGAAATTGATGATAATCCATCTGAAAATGAAGACTATTCCTTTAAATTTATGTTTTCCCTTAAATTTATAATTTCCATTCATGATGAAATTGTTGGCACTATGCGGAGAAATACAAACCGAAATTTGTGTTCACCCCCATATCATTACGCGATGGAAAATTACCGAGCGAGCCCTGCAGGGTCAACTACGGTGGCCCACAACTGTCACGGCAAAAGCAAAAGCGCCACGGCAAGCGCAAAAGCGCCGCGGCAAGCGCAACAGCGCCGCGGCAAGCGCAACAGCGCCACGGCAAGCGCAAAAGCGCCACGGCAAAAGAAAAAGCGCCACGGCAAAAGAAAAAGCGCCGCGGCAAAAGAAAAAGCGCCACGGCAAAACAAAAAGCGCCACGGCAAAAGAACAAGCGCCACGGCAAAACAAAAAGCGCCGCGGCAAGCGCAAAAGCGCCACGGCAAGCACAAAAGCGCCACGGCAAGCGCAAAAGCGCCACGGCGAAAGCAAAAGCGCCACGGCGAAGGCAAAAGTGCCACGGGTTTATTGGGAAGGGGCGTAATCATACATGCCGCTACTACATCAAAAAATAAAATGGGAAGGAGAATGGCCGCCACCAGGAATTCTTATTAAGCACAGAATTTAATTCTTTGAGAAGTGATTTTATGGCTGAGAAAATAGCAAGGCCAAGGAAAACCGGTCAGGAAATAAATCGTCGATATTAATTTGTTGTAGGATAATTATTATTCCAAGAGAGTTGCTGCCGTGAATCAGAGTTTATCAAGGAGTGGGACTCGCTATCGGCACCATCAGGGCCGTTCCTCATTTCTTTACATTTCTTGGGATGCAAACAATTACGAGGACGGGAGGCTCTGTGAGCTGATGCATTTTTTTGAAGAGTTTTTTTCCTTCCGACTAGCATGCAGAGAAGAGTTCCGTTAATTTGAGACTTAGTTCACCCATGGGCGTCGCGAGGGGGGCAAGGGGGCGCTCCCCCCCCCCCCCTGGAATAGCACACAAAAAAGGAAGGGGAAAAAACTGAGAGAAAAAAAGAAAAGAAAAAGAGGCGCGAAGTCATAGTGGTGTAAATTGAATGAGTGGGGGGGGGGGGGGGGGCAAAATGTCCCTGCCCCCGTCTAAAACTGAGAAATCGAGAATTTGTTCAGAAATACAAGAATTTTTGGGGAAAAATATGTTTTGCCCCCTTTAGAAAAAATTCTGGCGACGCCCATGAGTTCACCGGTGTGTATACCAGTGTAGGCACACAATTGAGCTGCCCAGAGTTTGGATATAGAATAAGAAAGAAAGAAATTAACTCAGAACCTAGAACTCATTGGCCCACCCACCCCCGGCTCAAGAAACCAACAAGCCGAACAAGACCTCATGATGCTTAGCGATAGCGATGATGAGTTGCCCTGTGGACAGTCTTCCACATCATCGCAGAATCAGCCTGCAGGGCAGAAAGAGGGCTTGTTTCCGGCATCAAAATAGTTCCGTATTCACTCGAAACAAAGCAAACGGCTCTTTTCAGAGCCACCAAATTTTCATAGAAGAGCTTAGAACTGTGCATCTCAACGATAACACTTCTCCTTTGTTTAGTGTCTCTCCCTTACCCCCCCCCTTTTTTAAGTTAATTTCTTTCTTTCTTATTCTATATCCAAAGTCTTCGCCTGTGTTACGTTCCTTACATGAAATCCACGACCTAACCTCCTCTGTCGAAAGCGTTGCAACTGTCTAATAGAACGATCCATTTCTCGATTTGTGAGTTATCTTCAACTCAGTCGTGTTTATTGGGAAGGGGCGTAATCATACATGCCGCCACTACATCTAAAATTCAATGGAAAGGAGTATGGCCGCCACCATGAATTGAGAAGTGATTTTATGGCTGAGAAAATAGCAAGGAAAACCGGTCAGTGCAAGCAACGTTCAGCGAAGAGTTTTGAAATTCCCGCTCTCTGGGAATTTCTAACCTAATGGGCCCGCGGGCGAGTTACGTGTTGACAAGCCTTACCCACCCACTGCCGCAGCCCTGCAGGAGAGCCTTAATCGACTTCCTATAGATGTGTATGATATACTGAAAAAAAAAAAAAAATTAACTCATACACTCTGGGCAGCTCACTTTCGTGCCTACACTGGTATACACACCTGTGAAAAAAGGCTCAAATTAACGGAACTCTTCTCTGCATGTTAGTCGGAAGGGGAAAAAAATCAGCTCACAGAGCCTCCCGTCCTTGTAATTGTTTGCATCCCACGAAATGTAAAGAAATGAGGAACGGCCCTGATGGTGCCGATAGCGAGTCCCACTCCTTGATAAACTCTGATTCACGGCAGCAACTCTCTTGGAATAATAATTATCCTACAACAAATTAATATCGACGATTTATTTCCTGACCGGTTTTCCTTGGCCTTGCTATTTTCTCAGCCATAAAATCACTTCTCAAAGAATTAAATTCTGTGCTTAATAAGAATTCCTGGTGGCGGCCATTCTCCTTCCCATTTTATTTTTTGATGTAGTAGCGGCATGTATGATTACGCCCCTTCCCAATAAACCCGTGGCACTTTTGCCTTCGCCGTGGCGCTTTTGCTTTCGCCGTGGCGCTTTTGCGCTTGCCGTGGCGCTTTTGCGCTTGCCGCGGCGCTTTTTGTTTTGCCGTGGCGCTTTTTCTTTTGCCGTGGCGCTTTTTGTTTTGCCGTGGCGCTTTTTCTTTTGCCGCGGCGCTTTTTGTTTTGCCGTGGCGCTTTTTCTTTTGCCGTGGCGCTTTTGCGCTTGCCGTGGCGCTTTTGCTTTTGCCGTGACAGTTGTGGGCCACCGTAGTCAACAGACTCTGGTAGGTGCGGTGGGTGTGGCAGGCAACTCGCAGTGTATTCCCACCAAAACAAAATTGCCTCAAACTTCACAAGCCAAACTTGAGACATGTATGTTCGAGTGGGACGTCCAACTGGAAGCCAGCAACGCGAAACTGGTACATCTTACCATGGAGTCTTCATGTGCGCGAAAATAATGTCGAATTTGGACGCTTGGAGCCGGACAAGTCGACCAGAAATCCGGCCTCACACACCGGGCCACTGCAACGTTTCGACGCACACGCCGCTATGTTGCGGCGTCGTCAGCGTCACCAATAATAAAAACTGACTGAACTTTGCTGTAGGCCTACAGAACTCATTGAACTGAACTGGGCTGCATTTTTGTGAACTCATAATTTTGTCGAATGATCTGAATGACGGTTTTTGGAAAATACAAGTCAAGCTTTTGGATTGCGTCGGGTGGTAAGTCCAACTGTATATGGAATTAGCGAGGTGAGTTAAAATTATCTTTTCCTGATCCTGCGTATTTTTACACAGAACCAAAACGAGGAAAAAGACCCTTGCATCTAAATATTCCAAGTACTTGATATTTTCCCTTTATTTTTAACCTGACCTCTATTTGCCGTAAAGTCAAGCGAGAAAATTCTCTTTGGTCCTTAAATCGTACTTTTTGGATAATAATGTGTACTAATGTTATCAACATTAAGCATGGTGTAGTGTTGTTGTTCATGTGCTTTTTGTACATGGGGTTGTTTTTTGCATTGTTAAATATAGTACCATAAAATCTGTCATTTCCCCTTTAAATTGTGCTTCTTTTTAGTATGCTCATAAATGCATGTGTCCATTTTGCCAACAAAATGCCGTCCATTTTGTTTCTCCTACACGAGTTTGTCTTTTGCATTGCTGAATAATCATGTACGTTGAAATACCGTTTCTGTAGGCGAAAGCCCTTTTGATTTAGAGTAATTTGCATACGAATACATGCCAACGATGCCAACTTGTTTACTCAAAAGCATTATACGTGTGTAATACCGTGCCACTTTTTTTAACACGGCATATTTCCCCGCTTTTCTCACACACGGTTTCAAAAGAATTTGCATACGACAGCGTAGTGGAGTCGTGCACGCGAAGGCCGCAGCTGGCCGGCGCAGTGGTATGGGCGTGGTCATAAACTCGGGTGATTCTTATTGGTCGAAAAGTTGAAAGGCCGCGCGCGCGTGGTATTCGGCCAGGTGCACTGTATGTTCTTGCTAAACTTTCAAAGACATTCCAACGAGCTAGGGGCTTAAAAGGGATTTACTCAAAAGTTGGAGTAAACAGGTTTAGATCTTCATTAAAAAATGAGGGTTCCTTGGAATTTACTTTGCCTTTTCCGTTATAATTGTATTAAAATGACTGGTTTAAATACTAAGCTATGAGAACAATAGCTTCTAGCTTTTATTTAATAAATTAACGGCATTCCAATGGACCAACATACATTTTATGGACATTACATCAACGGATTTCAAAGTTATTTTTCGAATTGCTCAAAATAATGACCTTTACACCATTAACTTTAGGGTAACTGGTATACATTATAAATTCTACGAAGTGCAAGATTTGTTTGAATTTGATTCTATAAATTCCGATAATTACAAATACAAAACTTTCTAAAAATATATTTCTCAAGTCGAGCAAAAAGGAATAAAAATAGCGGCTAATGAGTAATCTTAGCTTGATACATGAACGGTAATTAATAAAAATTAATCTGTAAAAATTGGTATTGAGATAAAGTGCATTCCAGGGATTAAAAATTAAAATTATCAATATACAAATCCGGGTTTTCTATGAAATTTGGTTTTGAAATCAGTGGGCAGGGATACCAGAGCTCTTGAAGGGCACATGGGTTGATGAGGATCTTTTATCGCGAGAAGACATCTTAGGAGTATAGGTTGTCGCCAAGTTTATCTTGTAGGTATGATATCGTCTTCCTGAGATAATGTTTAATCACAGGTTGATGACATCTTTTAGGTGAGATGTCATCTTCCCGAGAAAGAAAATATTTCTCGTGTCGATGATATCTTTTAGGTGAGATATCGTCTTCCCGAGATAAAAGTATTTTTCGAGTTGATGATATCTTGTAGGCAAGATGTCGTCTTCTCGAGAAAGAAAATATTTCTCGTGTTGATGATATCTTGTAGGTTAGATATCGTCTTCCCGAGATAATGTTTCATCATGGGTTGGTGATATCTTCTAGAGATGTTGTCTTTCAGAGAAAGAATTTTTTCTCGGGTTGACAATATCTTTCAGGTGAGATGTTACCTTCCCGAGAAAGTAAAATATTTCTCGGGGTGATGATGTCTTGTAGGCAAGACGTCGTCTTCTTGAGAAAGAAAATATTTCTCGGTTGACGATATCTTGTAGGTATGATATCGTCTTCTCGAGATAATTGTTCACGGGTTGATGATATCTAGATATTTATTTGCATGGGTGCTACTATTGAGAAAAAACTCGCCCTTGATGGGTGCTACTATTGAGAAACACGACACCCTTGATGGGTGCTACTATTGAGAAAGAACTCACCCTTGATGGGTGCTACTATTGAGAAAGAATTCACCCTTGATGGGTGCTACTATTGAGAAAGAACTCACCCTTGATGGGTGCTACTATTGAGAAAGAACTCACCCTTGATGGGTGCTACTATTGAGAAACACGACACCCTTGATGGGTGCTACTATTGAGAAACACGACACCCTTGATGGGTGTAGGCAAGATGCATGTCGTCTTCTTGAGAAAGAAAATATTTCTCGGGTTGACGATATCTTGTAGGTGCGATATCGTCTTCTCGAGATAATTTTTCACGGGTTGATGATATCTTGATATTCATTTGCATATATCAAATCAGTTCATTATGTGATTGAAACAGATAACAGACGGCTATACCTTCGGAGATAAAAAAAAAGATCCGATAAACTCATGGCTACTATGAAGCTCTGTAAAATATAATTATTGTAAAAATTTACAAACACAGCTTTTTCAATAACACTTAGAAATGGAAAATAAAAATGGGAAGTTTTAAATATTAAATTGAAATGAGAAAACCCGATAAAGTTTTCATTATTAAAGGGGAAATCAATGAAAAACATTTAATGAAAAATTCATATATGTTGCAAAATAAAATATAGCAATTTCAAAGGGTACTGCCAAACGCAAGGTAAAAACAGTTTGTGGAAAAGGGGGAATAAAAATAATACAAATTCTGTTCAGCTCTTGTATCCTGACAATGCCTAGTGCATTGACAAACATAACACCATTTGTAGAAAAAGAATACTTTACTTTAAAAATGTTCAATTTATGTGAATAATATAAATCGACTTTAATATCTAATCAATGGCATTGCTTTCAGCTTTGCTGCATTACAATCACATTATTTTCATATAAAGACAAAGCCTTGGAGAATTAATGGTGTAAAGTTGTCCATTATGCATTCCTTAAAAGCCTTTCATGAAATATTCTTGTAAATTGTTATATTTTGGGTAGTGTCCATTGGAATACCGCCACATAGAGGTCAATGTACTATTGAGAAAGACGACACCCTTCCCTTGATGGGTCCATTTTTATTAAGAAACACGAAGCCCTTGATGGGTGCTACTATGAGGACGACACCCTTGATGGGTGCTACTATGAGGACGACACCCTTGATGGGTGCTACTATGAGGACGACACCCTTGATGGGTGCTACTATGAGGACGACACCCTTGATGGGTGCTACTATTGAGAAACACGACACCCTTGATGGGTGCTTTATAATGTTTTTGCCAAAAAAATAATTCAACAAAATTATAATGTATAAAGTTTATGTAAAAGAAAGAACTCACCCTTGATGGGTGCTACTATTGAGGACGACACCCTTGATGGGTGGTACTATTGAGAAGGACGACACCCTTGATGGGTGCTACTATTGAGAAGGACGACACCCTTGATGGGTGGTACTATTGAGAAGGACGACACCCTTGAAGGGTGCTACTATTGAGAAGAACGACACCCTTGATGGGTGGTACTATTGAGAAGGACGACGCCCTTGATGGGTGCTTTATAATGTTTTTGGCAAAAAAAAATTAAACACAAAATTATAATGTATAATGTTTTTGTAAAAGAAAGAACTCACCCTTGATGGGTGCTACTATTGAGGACGACACCCTTGATGGGTGCTACTATTGATAAGGACGACGCCCTTGATGGGTGGTACTATTGAGAAGGACGACGCCCTTGATGGGTGCTTTATAATGTTTTTTGTTAACAAAATAATTCAACAAAATTATAATGTATAAACTTGTAAAAGAAAGAACTCACCCTTGATGGGTGCTACTTTTAAGAAGGACGACACCCTTGATTGGTGCTACTTCTGAGAAAGATGACACCCTTGATGGGTGCTACTATTGAGAAGGACGACACCCTTGATGGGTACTATTGAGAAACACGACACCCTTGATGGGTGCTACTATTGAGAAACACGACACCCTTGATGGGTGATTCATAATTTTTTTCGCCAACAAAATAATTCAACAAAATTATAATGTAAAAACTTGTAAAAGAAAGAACTCACCCTTGATGGGTGCTACTTTTAAGAAGGACGACACCCTTGATGGGTGCTACTATTGAGAACTACGACACCCTTGATGGGTGCTACTATTGAGAAACACGACACCCTTGATGGGTGATTCATAATTTTTTTCGCCAACAAAATAATTCAACAAAATTATAATGTATAAACTTGTAAACCAGAAAATGATTTTTTTGTAATGATTATTTTGTAAGGAAGACAAAGATGGTTAAATTAACTTAAATTTTCCAAGGAACCTCTCCTCACGATACTTAAGGCACAATTTTACCAAGCATCAGGCGGGAAAGAAATGAAAATTCCGCCGCTTGGGGTTTTCTTTTTCTCTGAATACAAACGTTTCCCGGTGCATAAAATAACTTGAAGGAAATGAATGTTAACGCATCACGACCTACGCGGGCAGGAAATTAAAACAAGAAGTTAAACGGTGGGAAACTACCAAATAAATACTTGAAATCATCGTGCGAAGTAGAAGAAACGCAAAGGAACGAAAGTTACACCCCTGAAAAAAAATACTCGAATCGGCAAAAAACACGAAATTATTAAAATGTCACGGTGTTATCGATAGCATCAAATTGTGTTACCTCTCGTTGCATTCTTGAGTTAAAAATTAGTAAAGGATAGGTTTGGGAAACCATTATTTGGTGGTAATTATTTCATTAATAGCCCCTCCCTCCCCCCCCCCCCCAATGAAAATGTCTGGGCACGGGAATCTCGTTATTGTGTGTAATCATTTTTCCCGAATGTTAGCAATCAACGTGTAGTTAAAATGTGAAACGTGAAACCGAAAAACACGCTGTTAACGAAAATTATTATTTAAATTGTAAAATGTCGGGTTATCGCCCTCTTTTATTGTTCGACAACCACTGCACGTACGGAAAGCAAAAATATAATGCGGTTACAGACCAGCGCGAAATGACAGCAATGGAGGAGACGCAACATCACCAGTCTGAACAGAAACGGAAAGAAATGAAATGAAATTTTAGAGATTGTTTGCAAAATATTCTAAGGACATGTGTACAAATCTTTCTTTGCAGAAATATAAATTCCACTGTTTGCCACACCCAACCCATTTTATGTGAGTGCAACGAATCTGGGGAATGTTTTTTTGCCATTTTTTTTTGAAGTTTCTTTAATCGACTAAAGTCTCTATTTTCAACTCAACTCAACTCAACTCGTATTCTTCCCTGTAAACTCGACTTGGATTCGTTGTGTAAAATAAATAAGGCCATGTATTGAACTTTAACTTAAAACTGAACTAGTATTATAGTCTGCCCTGTAACTTGACTGAGATTCATTGTGCAGAACAATTTAATAAGGCCATGTATTGAACCAGCAATTGAGATGTTAAAAAATCTTTTGCAAAAAATCCAGGGTCCATGGATACACATTCTTACTTTAGACAGTTTTAATTACCACGTCTACATTTTATTGTATTGAGAGTACAAACAATTTACACGGTACGAGTTTCTGTTTGGGTTCGAATGCGAACAAAGTTCGTGTTTGAGCTCGAGTGCGAACATATCTAGAGGAGTTCGCGTTCGTGTTCGGGGCCGAGTGAGAGTACGAACAAATTTACACGGTACGAGTTCGTGTTTGAGTTCGAATGCGAACAAAGTTCGTGTTTGAGCTCGAGTGCGAACAAAGCTACGAATTCGAATACAAGTACGAAAAAATACGGACGACTACGAGTTTGTGTTTGGCGCTGAGTGAGAGTACGAACAAAGTTACACGGTACGAGTTCGCATTTGAGTTCGAATGCGAACAAAGTTCGTGTTTGAGCTCGAGTGCGAACAAGGTTAACGATCGAGTTCGAGTACGAGTTCGTGTTTGGCGATGAACAAATTTACACGGTAAGAGTTCTCATTTGAGCTCAAATGCGAACAAACTTAGGTGTTTGAGCTTGAGTGCGAACAAAGTTCCAAGGGTACAAGTTGGAGTTTGAGTGCAAAAATGTACACGAATGCGACTTTTGAAGGATTTTTTGGGAAATGTGTTGGGGCCATGTGTAGCAGTAATTTTATTTCGCCGTTTTGCGTATTTCATTTCTAAATCTGTTTATTGACTTGCTGACATTGGTTATTTTTCCATTTGTGACAATGTGTTAAATATTTTAGGGCCATGTGAATAAATCAAACTTTAAAATCTCGTCGTTCTTCATTGATACTCATTGTGAAAAAAATGTTCTAGGGTCATGTGTATACAAAAATTTCTCATCGCCGTTTTGTACTTCTGCCAAACCCATTTTTCCTTTGTGTTTTCTTCTATTTGTAACAAATTAAATGTTACAGAACTCTAGGGCCATGTGAACAAATCCTACAAAATCTTTTGCGAAAATCTCGGGTCCATGGATACACATTCTTACTTTTTGCAGTTTTCGTAACCATGTCTACATGTCTTGCATTGAGAACCATACCGTAAACCAATTTGGGGTCATGGCGTGCATCTTCACACTTTTCTTTGTTGTTTTGTAGGAAATTCCCTGATCGTGACATAATTGTAGACTTTGTAGGATTGCGAACAAACTTCGTGTTCGAGTGCGGACGAAGAAGTCGCGGAGTACGAAAAAAATACAGACGAGTTCGTGTTCGGGGCCGAGTGAGAGTAACGGTACGAGTTCGTATTTAAGTTCGAATGCGAACAAAGTTCGTGTTTGAGCTCGAGTGCGAACAAAGCTACGGGTTCGAGTACGAAAAAAAAATACGGACGACTACGAGTTCATGTTTGGCGCCGAGTGAGAGTGCGAGTTTACACGGTACGAGTTCGCATTTGAGTTCGAATGCGAAGAAAGTTCGTGTTTGAGCTCGAGTGCAAACAAAGTTACACGAGAGCGAGTAACAGTTCGAGTACAAAAATGTACACAAGTACGAGTTTTGAAGTATTTTATTGGGAAACATGTTGGGGCCATGTGTAGCAGAAATCCTATTTCGTCATTTTGCGTATTTCATTTCCAAATTGTAACATCTGCACTTGACCTTCTGTTAAATCTTGCACACCCAATACCTTCTGCTTGTCAGTTATTGACTTGTTGACATTGGTTAACTTTCCGGTTGTGACAATGTGTTAAATATTCTAGGGCCATGTACAAATCAAACTTAGAAATTGCCGTCATATTTTACATTTTCGCGTCGTTCTTCATTGATACAAATTGTGAACAAAAATTTTCTAGGGTCACTTGTATAAACAACATGTCTCATCGCCGTTTTGTAAAAGATTCTGCCAAGCCCATTTTCCCCTTGTGTTTTCTTCTGTTATGTAATAGATTATGTTTCAGAATTCTAGGGCCATGTTAACAAATCTTACTTTGCCTTGAAAACAATTTGTTCCTTCATTTTGTCCCTTCATCCCGTCTTGAGTGAGCATCATTGTGTAAAATACTCACGAGCAATGTGATGAGTCTTCATATCTATTTTAAGGCTCAGCAAATCTTAAATGCTGAAGGTTTTTGCATACTCATTGAATATGGAATTCAACTGCTATAACTTCATTGTGATTCATTGAATGAATAACTCTATAGGGACATGTTAACAAATCTACCTTATTTGGTTGTTTAGCAGCAATTTCCTCAGCTGCAACGCCATGCCCATCCCTCTTTAGCGTCGAGATTGAAAAGGGCTGTGGCCATGTGTGTAGATCTTACCGATTATTTGAAACATGTAATAGTCGTGAAACATGTAATCACAGTAGTAATGGTGTACAATTATTCCACGACATGAAATAGTCTGTGATCCTTGTTGAAATATAATAAGTCCGATCTGCAAAGATCGGTAATGCCTATTGTGTTAGGGCCATGGTGACAATGCTGCTAATAATCAGGTGATGACACCTGTTTCGTCGGATAATCCCATAATGGCTTTGGAAAAGTATCTGAGTCACAGATTTAAACAAGTGGAGGTTTGATCGACGTTGCCTTTTTAATATCGATAAGTCCGATCAGCGCAGATCGGCAATGTGAATATTGTTTCCATTTGAACAGGTGCGCGTTGCTTTCGGCAAACTGGAAGTTAAGCTTTAAACTGTCCATGCAAGGAGACTTCCCGACCAGTGGGCCAACTGATTTAGAATAGCGCTAAACTAAGTTGTCCCTTTCTCTATGGTTGTACTCATTACGGTGGTCAGGTAAGGGCCACTGATTGCATTACCTTCATTGTAAGTATGAGACTGCGCAGTCAGTTAGGCCTAGTAATAGGTAGGGTTGACCTACAAACTAAGTTTTCCTTTTCTATGGTTGCATAATCTTTCATTCATTGGTCATGTAAGGACCACATGTTCTCTTGTTCCACTACAATATGGCGGTAGGTTGACCAAGAAATCGCTGTACCTTTGCCTTTTTTTTATGTATCTTTCATTCATTGGTCAGGTTAGGACCACATTTCCCCTCGTTTCACCACAATAATGGTCACTAATTATTTTGACCATTAAATCACTGCATATAACTTCACCTAGCTCCGCTAGGTATGTTTGTTTTCTCTTTTTGTAAGTCCATTTTTAGCCACTTGCAGTTAGGTTATGAGGACATGCAAGCCCGAGTGTTCCTGTCGGATGCTAAGGAACCGGAAGCAGGGAGGAGGAACATCGGATGACTGAGGACCCTGCTTGCTGGGCATCCCATTACTGCTTCCATGGGTAAAAAGTTAAAAACAAAAATGATACTTCCCTTTCGAAGATTTACTGATACCTAAAAACAAAATAAGATGAATCAACAAGAAAATTCATTTAAGTTGTTTGAAAAGAACACTCACTTAACACTTTTACAAATCAACAATAGAAAAACAACAGGCGCATAATTATCCCACACACATTTTCTTACATGCATGTGTTCCTTCTAATCTTCTGGCAGATATGAGGGTCTACAAGATGAGATGTCTTTCTGGACGGAGTTACGGTCGATTCCGAATCCCAAGGAACCGGAACCGGAAGCAGGGAGGAGGACCAACGGAAGGACTGACTGACCCTGCTTGCAGAGCATGTCTTCACAATTCCTTGAGGTAATTAAGAAAGGGGTATTTAAGAAAACGGTGTTCAGATGTATTTTTCTCTTTTTCTATTTTTGTCTTCGTCTTTGGTCAGGGGCAAATCCTTTTTATGACTATCTACTCAACATGCATCAATCCGATAGTTAATTTGTACTTCGATTGTAAAAAAATAAATAAATTTAATCTTTTTTATCTTTGCAGATTCCACTTGCTTCGTGTCGGCAGCAAAAATGTACTTGTATCAGCGAACTGCCATCTTGCACCGCCATAAATTATGTTACTGTAGGCACTGTTAATTATTTTTTTTGTATAATTTGTAGTTAAAGCTTTACTCTAATTGTATGTTTCCATGCCTGTACAGCGCATTGGGTCATTATTGACTGAATGCACTTTTACAAGAGTGGTTTATTATCATTATTATTTATGTATGAATCCACAGTAACGTTAAGCTCATTAAGTGTTAATGAAATCGGAACTGAGTCTTGAATACAGTGCTGGCCAGTTTTTACAATTAGTGCTTAAGAAGCAATCTTATACATTAAATGCCAACAAAAACGAAATGTATGTTTATTGGTTTAAGGCAGAAAATCTGCTCATAGTCTCATTTTAAAGTGAATTATTGTAAAAGTGAATTATTGTAAACATTAATATGGGGCCCACTCGTTGAGTAGGCCTGTGTAAAGAAAACAGGTTCTTCGTTAAATGTGCCTCTCTCGCCCCTTTAGCAGATATGTTTGCCAAACTAAACTGGGTTCCAGACCATTTCCTGCAAGGGTTAAGTCTAAAAAGGCTATTCTCGATTCCAAAATTCTGAATAAAATGATTCCTTATTATGACGAATCTTTTTACACCGCTACGTATAGATTCGTGAAACAAAACAATAAAGTAACATGGCACTGAAAGCTTCGCAGTGAGTGGTCAAATTATATGGAATAAATTAAATGAACAATTGATAGCCATGGATTTCCTAGGTACATTCAGCTAAGAACTGTACGTAAAGCCATCAGCCAGTGCATATTTCTGCCACTAACCACTAGTTCAATTTGAGCTGATCTACAAAGTTATAAAACTTGGTTGCCATGGAAATTTGGAGCCGTATCGGGAATTTCCCCGTGTTTTTTTTTCCTAAACCGGTTTTCGCGGGGTTTTCGCCCATCCCGTAATCAGCTATTCAAACCTTGTACTGGAATGTTTAAAGATATAGTCCATCATCTGTAATTTGTGCATTTTGTTCGTTTGAAGCAACAAAAGTGTTCAAAATCTAATGAAGGGTACTGAACAACTAACCTGATGAAGTTTCAGTTCAGCTTCAGCTGTATATTCCGAGAAAAACAGCATTCTAGGATCTCAATTTCAAATCAAAAGTGCTGAATCATGTTTTGAATTGTTTTGAATTGCAGCAATACGCGATGTCGCGCATTGATCCGACGAATTATAGCAGCCGCGCGCGCCTGTGCGTCGTGCCAATGCTTGCGCGCGCTGCTCCAAATAACAAAACGAACTACTAATTTAAATTTTCCTACGGTGCGTCTTAAGACGCACCGTTGGAAAGGCCTTCTTTCGTTGATTACTTCAAAATGATAGCTTGCCAGAAAGATTAATTTCACAGAGAGTTTAGTCCACTTACTATCTTGCAACCAAGTATGTTTTTCAACAATAATACTTTTTCGGATGGCTGCAAATGATGGACTATAGCTTTAAAATAACTTTTAATTATATAGCTTTATTTACGTAAATATCGCTTGTATCCAGTAGTCGTATGTTTCGCAAGTGAACTTGTTCTTGCATGCAGGGTCCCAACGGAAACTAGTTTTAAAACGTGTTGGCATACCCTGATAAAAAAAATGTAAAATAAATAAATAATAAATAAATAAACAGAAGATCGGAAATGCAATCGTATTTTTTTTCAATTTGTACGTTTTGTCAAACGAAATCCACAAAATGAAAAAAAATTCGTGTTCCGCCCGTCCAAATTAAGTTTTTGGCCTTCAAAATATAACTCTTCGTACATTTACACACTCGACATTGTTATTTTCTTCGTTTCATCATGTCATGATTTATTAATGCATATTTTGCAGATCAAACCTGAATAAAAACTGAAATGCATATGAATTATTTATTTGTGTCAGTATATCGAGTGTATGTGTTGATGAGTAGCGACCTGGAAACAAGGGCGGATCCTGAACACAATTTTTGGGGGGGGGGGGGAAGGGCACAACAATTATTGTGGTCACCAAATAGTGGGTCCAAAAAAGTTACGGCGTTTTTGGATTCTATTTGCTCTGTGGTGCGATCTCAATTTCCGACCAGTTTAACCATTGTTTTTAGGAAAAGATGGTTGTGTAGGCAGGTGCCTGCCTTTCTTGCGACGTCACTTAAAAAAAAAAATTGAGTTCGTTTTTTTTATTTGGGGGGGGGGGGGAGGAAAGGCTCCCTATGCCCCCTGGATCCGCCCTTACCTTGAAGAACCTTGTAAGTTAAATACATACCTCATTATACCAATATTTCTCGAGTTTTATCGCCTTGATTGGGAAAGATTCCCTTATCTGGCCACTACTCTTCACCCTGAGCGCAAACCCTGTTAGACTCTGAAAAGTGTTTTGTCAATAATTACTTCAATATATTCCCTGCTAAATTTGACCTTTTAGGACATATCACTTTCTGATGGCTGATAGGTCACTGAAGGGAAAGGCCAGAAAATGGGGATCTTTCCCTTGATTTTGTTTTATAGATTAGAAAAAAATAAATCAAATCCAAGACTATCCGGTACGTAAATTAATTTTTCCCAAACGAGATCCGACATTATCAAAAGAAGGCGCTCTCACTGCGTTATGCATATTAATGATGTCAAAGGATTATGTTATTTAACAAGAAACAATGGCGTTTAAATCACAAATGATGAGCAGCCTATTCGTGGACTGGTCTTTAGTCGTGACTTAAAATCAGGTGATCCGACTTCGAATCTCAGTTAGCGCTTTTTTCACTTGGCTTCTCATTATTTCTTTTAAATAACTAGTACTAAAGTGGGGAAGGAACGTTTCGTTTCTCTCAAGAAGCCTATCTTGGGTTTGATGCGGAGAACAAGTCATTAGATATGAATGTGATGGACTACTCAGAAGATGGGAAACGGATGTCGTTTGGGGGAAAAAAACATTGTATCTGGTCCGATCCAGCCGAACGTTGGTTTCTTTTCACTGTGGGTTCGCGTTTGAAGTTTTCAAATCAGCAATTTCAATGAATACAATTCAAAAATTGACATGCTTTAGATACAGAATTATTTTGTTGCTCTCAAGCACTGATCTTTATTTTATTGACTGGATAGCGCTTCTCGGCATGGGATGAAGTTATAGCTCGAATATAGGCCACGTAAAAGTATAATGCAAAAATACAAAATAGAATTAAAAATTTGAAGAAATATTCACATGAGTTAAATAACACTGTGGGCCAAAATTAATTTAAAAACCTGTTTGAAGATCCAAAATCACTTGTAATCCTGTGTTTTTTATATACGGATCCTTGCATTGTGGGGCTTTTTTTGCGGAGCTTCAAAATGGCCGCCACGTGTGTGTGCGATGGCGTCACGGTCTTGTGTACACGCAAAGGTGGAAACGCTATGTATAATAGAGATCAGTGCTCTCAAGCCACTTCCCAATGAACAATTTTAATATACCTGCAGAAAAGAATCCTTCAGCATCGATTTAAAATAATTCAAGAAGCAAAAGCAAGGGACTTATCTCCAAATTAATATCAATGGTACTTCAGTATGAATCAAACCAGGCGCGGATCCAGAGGGGGGGGGGGGGGGGGTCAAACCCCCCAGCTCTGTCAATTTTTTTTCCATACAAATTCCTAAAAAATCAGTTGACCCCCCCCCCCTGTTGTGACGCCCCCCAAAAATTATAATGGTATAATGTCTGCCTGTTCAAAATACGGTACACCATTCTGTAATCTAGTGTAAATAATCGTCAAATTTGAACAGCGCCCCCTATTGAAATATGGTACCAGCCCCGCCCCCCAGTTTTTTCTCCGAGTGTCCGGAGAAAAAAAACCCTGTGTACATTTTCAGAATTTTTGGCTGATGAAACCTCCCCCCTGCAAAAATTCCTGGATCCGCCCCTGCAAATATCGACCGATGACCGAAAAAAACCCAAATCGTCAGTGCAGTGTCAAGTTCAATCTTTGAAAAAAAGAGTAGATTCTTCCGTTACTTTTCGTGCCACTCGTGAGGATTCTTTTAGTCATTTTAAATTGGTAGTTTCCCGACTGTTGCAACACGCAAAATCCTCACTACAAGGCTCTACTAATCAGGACGAGGACGCCCTCTCACGGATGTGTAGAAGAAATATCTAAGGCATCATTTCGGTTCCGGATCAATCCCAAGAGTTTGGTCGGCGGAAGTCATTGTTCTCTCCAAAGCAGCTGATGGCTCTTCAATAAATCAGTTCGGTATTCCAATCTGGTGGACAACAATTCGACGATATTTGGGGATAAACACGGCAGATAAAGGCACACAAGGCTATGAGGACGTGGTATTAAACAGAGTCTGCATCCTGTGTAATTTTCGTGCAATCGAAAAGATATGGAAACTTTCGGTTGCACAAATGTTTGGACACGCAAGACATTTAAAACCACTTAGCAGTCCAAACTTTTTTGGGGGCAAAATATTACTTCAGAACACGACGATTACTTCAATTTTTAATTTTTTTTAACGTAAAAAAGGTATTCACTTTTGAATGAGACATCGAAAAAAAAAGAAATCTCATGTGTACTTCATATGGAATATTCACTCTACAAATTTCAAATTATTTGCGATATGAGAATAATTCTGGCAACCCCAAAATAAAAGTGTATTTTTAGAGGGTTGAAAACATCCAAATAGGGAAAAAATATTTTGAAGAGCTGAGGTACAGCAACCAAGTTCCCTCAAAACGATTACCAATTCATATAGACCCTATTTCGCAGGTTAACAACCATATGCCAAGAATATTATATACATACATTAAGCTGTAATAAACTGTTAGCAGTTAGCAAATAAATTATAATTAATTAATCATCAATGCATGAGAAAACAGCATATTTATGAGGCATTGTATCAGCATCGAAAAAAGAAAGAAATCTCATGTGTACTTTATTTAGAATATTTACCGTCCAATTTTAAATTATTTGCGGTATGAAAATAATTCAGGCAACCCCAAATAAAAGTGTATTTTCAGAGAGTTGAAAACATCTAAATATGAAAAAAAAAGTATTTTGAAGAACTGAGGTAGACAACTTTAAAGACTGAGGTCATTAAAAAAAGTACCAAGTTCCCTCAAAACGATTTGCAATTCATATACATACAATATTATATACATATATTTAGCTGTAATAAACTGTTAGCAAATAAATTATAGTTAATTAATCATTAATGCATGAGATAAAAGCATATTTTATGAGGCATTGTTGCAGGTTTGGAAAGTTTGCGCCCACATTATCGGACACAAAGATGTTGTGCAAGGCCATGAATATCGTGCACATTCTGGGTCGACACTATGGGAGAATCAAACTCTTTGTCAAAATAAAAAAAAAAAAAAAATCAGCAGCATAAATGTGTTTTTTTTTAAATTTCTTTCATATCCATGGGCTTTCATATCCTAGATTTTGATAGTGCTACAGGCTCAACTTCATTAAAAATTTGGACCTGCAATTTAAGATGAGGTTTGTTGTTTACTCGCCCTGTATAGCATGCGGTTAATTCTAAAACCTGATCATGCGGGTAATTCTAATGCTTCATTGGTGCAGAGAATCATACAAATATATACAACCTCATTAAGTCAAACGACTGAATAGTGGCGATAGAACACTTATTATTCGACTTTGTTACCCCTGCTCAGGTGTGAATAATATTAACCGCACCAATGAGCATCGGTCGTGCGCTCGTTTCTGCAGGGAAACTCAATATGGAGCCGGTTTACATCGCGGATTAATATTGCATGCATTCATAAAATTATTCTGATTAATTTCAACTGAATAATGTTAATAAATATTCATCATCGGTTCGAAAAACGTCTGCACAATGAACAAAGAACATGTTGGATATCAGCATCGACCGCCCTACTTGTTCACGCGGATGACTTCCTGAAATCCCCCGCTCAAAAAAAAAAACCATTCTGACGACAACAAGGTACACTACGCCCATCAGTAAGCATCTGTCTCTTGTGAGGATCTGTTGTCATTCTTTCTGAGGGGAAACGTCAAGTTGATAAAAATGTCGCGTGAAATCATTACGCTGCAAGTTGGTCAGGCTGGCAACAAAATTGGCAACAAGGTAAGAGAACTGTTGAAGAATCAAAATGGATACGTTCCTGCTCAGGGTTTTTATTCACCATTTCATAAACAACAAGGCTCGTCAAATTATTATGGACCGTATGGAAAGAAACTGTACATCTTACATGTAGTCTATCTGTTCAAACTGTTGGCTCTATCGTGTCTCTTCCTATTTTATTGTAACCTGATGCCTGGAATTAATTTAACCCGAGTTATGGAGTGGGCAGTGGTTGGGTATTAATTTTTTATAGGTATGAGTAAACGTTCTGTGCATTCGTTTAAACAAACAACACAGCACATCCTCTGGAGTGTCTGTAAGTTCCTCATAGACCAGGCCTGACAATTTCCGAAGCTGATTATGTTAAGGAGAATACACGAGAAAGTGTGGATTCGTAATTTAAGAATTCACCAGGCGCGAAGCGCCGAGTGAATTCGTAAATTAAGAATCCACACTTGCGAGTGTATTCTTCGACTTAAACCATTGCGTCAACAGAAGTATTGGAAAGAATGTTGCAACCTGACGCCACTTTTTTCTTCATATATCATCTCAATGAAGGTCATTCGTTGCAAAAATGATGATAAGTCATGAATCTGGGACTGAGAACTGTTTCCAATTTTGTTAGGAAATACTTGAAATGACTCTCCATAGACTTTGTACACAAGCGCGGAAGTGGCGTCAGGTTGCACCATTTTTCGCCACACCCGTGTGTGTACAGGCTCCTTACGTCAAAATGGATAGTTCAGACGACGATTTCTTTCTGACTAAAAGTAGTTTTTGCAGCGACGGCGGAGGATCTGACTGTGAAGATGCATTGGTAATTTTCGGAAAGTAAATTTTCACGCAGACGGTCCTATTCATGCTCATTATCATTGTGGAGACAATTGTCCGACGTTCAAAGTGTGGATTCGTAATTCCGAATCCACACTTTACTAAAGATTCGTTATTCCGAATCCCATACTTTTTGATCAGTGTAAGAGATTCGTAGATCCGAATCAACACTTTTAACAATAGTGTGACGTCATAGCAATGGTTTCAAAGAATAGTATACACAAATTGAATGCAACCTCGTCCCCAGGGTGTCGAGCAGTACGCTTCCACCACTACCTGCTCTCTCACCCTGGTATTGGATCATTTGCATGTGCAAGATTTTTGCACACGTATGCAAATGAGGAACAGTCTGGTGCCTGGATATGCGTTACACATTAGCGTTTGTTTTTGTATGGGGTGTCTGGGGTAAAAACAGAGTCAATTCGTAGCAGCGCGAGCACGGCGTGAGTTACGAAAACACGATTTTTGAAATCAAACTGTTACGATCTTATCGAGACAACATGCAGTATCATATTTCATATTAATATGAACAAATTGGAAAGGAAATTAGTATTTTCGAGAAGGCGTGGACGAATGATCGCGAAAACACGTACTGCACGTTATGAATATATAGCACCAAGTACACGATAAAAATCCATTACTAGCCAATTGCGGTATCCAATCAGGATACAGGAAGAAAGTTTCCTATCCAGGGTTTTACTTTTGGAAACGCGGTTGGAAATAAAGTAAGCACTGGGGACGAGGTTGAATTGAATGCTTCGAGTGGTGTAGTAAAACTAGCCTCCCGAGGTGATCCATGGACATTCTATTTTCCCGAGGCGAAGCCGAGGGAAAATAGAATGGTCCATGGATCATCGAGGGAGGCTAGTTTTACTTCACCACGAGATAAAGCATTCAACATTTGTTTTATAACACTTCACCCACAGATTCTGCTTGATTTTAATATTTTAAATTATTTAAATCTGAACACAGTTGAAATAAACTTCAAATTCAATACAAAATTGGTGGAAAATGTATTTCTCTCTTCCAAACTACCCCTTCACGAAATGTTTGAACCCAAGTCTGCGGTGCGCTCTCTTTGGAACAAACGCGCTGCTACGCGCAACGCGCACACAAGCATCCATTTGCACACAAATACCGCGCCGTGGAAATAGTACTTTGGTTGCCAGTGGTATAGTACTTTGGTTGCTACGGGTATAGTACTTTTGGCCGTGCACAGAAAGATAGCAAAATTAGAAAGTAACATGTGACTCGCTCTCGGCCAATCAAGACACAGAATCTGTGGGTGAGGTGTTATAATATTAGCTGTTCATCCATATGGACAAATGATGGGTATGGGCGGTTTTATAATACACTCGGCCAAAAAAGAAAGTCGCCCCTTAATACTTTCTTGTCACACTCAAAAGCTACTGGGCACATCTTGCTCAAATTACAACTGATCAGTACATAAATTCCGTAGCAATCCAGTATACTCTTTGTTTGGCCCAAAACAGTGATAATATGTGCAGAATTATGCGATTGATGACAAATGCTACCGAAACAATGTTGCACTTTTGTACACGTGCAAAGTGAGCGTGAACCACAACTTGGGCGTATACAAAAGTGCAACGGTTTTCGGTATCATTTTGTCCTAAATTGTTTAAATTCATACACATTATCACTGTTTTAGGACAAATAAAGAGTATGGCTGGATTGCTAAGGAATATCTGTACTGATTTAGTCGTTATTTGAGCGAGATGTGCTCAGTAGTTTTTGAGTTGGACAAAAAAGTATTGGAAGGGGGGACTTTCTTTTTTTGGTTGAGTGTAGCATGATGCACTGTACAGTATTGCAAATTGGTTATGTGGCGACACGTTCATCACGAGCTACTTAAGGCCAACGCAGCTGCAAAGGGCCTACAGACCCCTTGCATCAGACGTCATCATCTCAGGGCATGTCTCTGTTCCTCTGTTATAGGTATGGGAAGATGCATTGTACTTCCATATTGTCACTAAACTTAAAATGACCAAACCTGTTTTCAGTGAGGGCGCGCTGTGATGGTGATCTATAATGCAGTGCCATTGCAGCACAATGCCTTATGACCAAACACGGACACTGCCGCATAAATTTACGCCAAGAAAGATGGAAAACCAATACCCGGCCTTATCTGTATTTCATTTCATTTGAAATTCATAAAACAACTCATACCACCAGCAACTACTCTCTCATTTAACTGCCTATCCTTGCTCTTATTTAACCAATGTTGAAAGTTGTCTCCTGACGTTATTTTTGAGTTTCAACAAGAAAAATAGCCTTTTTAGTGTTATTTTCCCCCTCTACAACAGTTTTGAATGAGACAATGCATACAAATCCGTTAAAATTTAGTTACGGAATAATTGATTTCGAGTTATTTGTGGCCAGCCCGACAGTTATTCATACGGATCTTTTTTGCCGTTTGCTGGGGGGGGGGGGGAACTGAGGCCTGAAGTGTTCGAGGGGGGGGGGGGTCGTGCCTCCCATGATCCCCCGGGTTATGCCAATGGTTGCAGACACTTAGAAAATAATAGTTTTTCATTAAAATAATGACATACAAAATACGCAAGAAATTGTTCTTTTCCTTTAAATTTGTTGAAGAACACGGTGTTAGCAAGTTTAAGCTTAAGCCAAACGAATGGGTTTGTTTTGCTCTTACGGTCGTTTGTTTATTTGTTTATTCAATCTGTTTTCTTTTCCCGACAGTTCTGGGAGGTGATCTCTGACGAGCATGGCATCGACAAATCCCGCATGTACCACGGTAACTCCCCCGTCTCGCAGTTGGAACGAATCGACGTCTACTTCGCTCAAGGTTCGGCAGCAGAAAAATATATACCCCGAGCCGTGCTGCTCGACCTGGATTTCGTTAGCCTAGCGTCCATTCGGTCTGGACCTTTGGGGGCGTTCTACAATCCGGGACACTTCGTCTCCGGCTTCGGTGGAACGGAAAACAACTATGCCAAGGGTCACTACACAGACGGGGCTGCGATCGTCGACGAAGCTATGGACGTTTTGCGAAGAGAGGCTGAGAACTGTAGCTCGTTACAGGTATGTCGGCCTGTATCACTGCCGATTTCTGGCACAATTATGCCTAGGCCATTTGAAGTCCGTGATGTCACATTGACAAAAAGTTAAAACAGTGTAATTGCCTGATAATAGTGTTGGGTTATGCGTTTCTCAAATCGATACACCTTTACAATTCATCACACACACAAAAATCACGTTTAAAGGCACAGTTACGATCTGAACTTTTACAGAATTTATGGGCGTCTGCAGGTGATCGATGGGCAAAAGTCCCCCGCCCACCCTAAAAAATGTGATAAATTGAGAATAATTATGCTGGAGAAAGTACGAGAATTGTTTGGGGGAAAATTTGCTTTGCCCCCCCCCCCCCCGAAACAACATTCTGGCGACGTCAATGATTTAGTAACTGTGACTGAGCTGTAAGTGATGATGATTACTATCTGCTTTATTGTGTTTTTTTTTGCTCCAGGGATTCCAAATGACTCATTCCCTTGGTGGCGGTACTGGCTCGGGCTTGGGAACACTTCTTCTAAGCAAGATTGTCGATGCGTACCCAGACCGCATGATCTCCACCTACAGCGTTGCACCTTCCCCGAAGATGCCACACGTAGCTGTGGTGGAGCCGTACAATGCCGTCCTGGCATACCATAGTCTCATCACACAGTCACATGCCACCTTCTGCATCGACAACGACGCCCTGTACGACATTTGCTTCGACACCCAGGGTGTGAGCAGCCCTACGTTCGACGATCTCAACCACCTTGTGTCAGCCACCATGAGTGGTGTGACCGCCGCCTTCAGGTACCCTGGTCACGTCAATGAAACCCTCATGAAGATGGCAGTAAACATGGCCCCCTTCCCCCAGCTCCATTTCTTGCTGTCTGGTTATGCTCCTCTGACCAAAAGAGGCAGTCCACCCAAGACTAACCTAACCGTTCCCGAGGTGGCCCAGCATTTGTTCGATGCCAAGAGCATGCTGGCCGCTTGCGACCCCAGTCATGGCCGTAACCTGACCACTGCCGCCCACTTCCGAGGCCCTATGACCCTGAAGGAAGTTGACGAGCAGATGCAGCAAGTGAGAGACAAGAACAGCGACTACTTTGTGGATTGGATCCCAGACAACGTCTTGACCAGCGTCTGCAAGATCCCACCACAAGGCCTCAATATGTCCGGCACCTACATTGCCAATAGCACCGCCATCAAGGAAGTGTTCCAGCGCATCTCCAAACAGTTCGCCAAACTGTACAAGCGCAAGGCTTTCTTGAACATGTACAAGAGCGAGGGTCTGGATGAAATGGAGTTCCAAGAGGCTGATAAGAACGTCAGAGACCTGATGAAGGAGTACCAACAATACGAAGATGCAACAGCTGATTAAGGTGGGGGCGCCCTTGATTAGGAGTAAACAAAGCAAACAACAAACAAAAATCCACGAACAACAAATAAATACATTCAAAACGAAATCTTTAGACAACGTTCAGGACATCTTTTTAAGCATTTTTCCGTCTTGTAAATTTGCCGGTTTGAAGGTCAATCAGACTATAACGGGTTTTGTGTACCGTAACTTGTTGCTTAACGCTTATAGAGGGTTTTAATATCTCGGGAGTTGCTGTATTTTAATTGGCAAACCGATATGTTTACCCCACTAGCACATTACATCGGATTCGAAGAGTCTTTGAAATCTGTGGTTAAAAATTGCTGAAACACTTCGTGTTTGAAAAGCAACGTTTTATGACCGTACAGGTTCAGTTTTCGGGATTTTAGTTGAATTAAAAAAAAAGTGTTATCAAAACATAAAAAACACGTTACTTTTTGTGGAAATTGCCACAGCAAATTTATTCGGCATTTACGGTGTGTAAAAATATCAAGATTTAAGAGTCCATTCCATTCTTGTTAAAACGACAAGTTGTAAATATTCAATAGCCTCCATTCATAATATAAACGTAACTATAATGATTCCATTGTTACTTTTACTTCTTTTCCTTTACCTGCATAGACAAAGTAGCCACGTGCTATAATTTTATAGTTGTAGTCAGTTTGAAAAGTTGTATTTATTTTAGACTAGTTGGTCACTGAAGTCTAAAACACGGATCATCAATCGAAAGTATTGAACCATGATCTGACAAAAAAACTGTGCACTCTCATAATATATATTGGCTGTTTCTCCGTCAGCCAACTTTGTTATGCGCGCATGCGCGAATTTCGCTACCAAGGTTTTCTGTATAGTCATATTCGATCAGAATATTTGCATTTGTAATGATTTAGAACATAAAGACAAATTTAATATTTAGCGAAATTCTTGAGGTGGATTTCTTTTCCCAATTGTATGATAATTTACATATTTATGGTTTTACAGGGTCTTTGCATACCAAATGTTATGGTAATTCAGATTAATATTCATGCAAATTAAAGCAGTAGCTGCGATGTTTTTTTGGTCAGGTCTCCATTTTGTGTGTTTAATTCTCTGTATTATGTAGGCCTAGTGTTCTCTCTACATTCCAAAGAGTGACATTAGGGACTAGACGTTTTAGAGTGAAAATTACTCTCCTTTTCGATTGAAATAGTCTGAAAAAAGAACCACTTCAGTCGAAGCTCAAGTCAAAGCTCAATCTTTACGATTGAAAAAAATTCAGTCGAAAACGTCTAGTCCCTAGTTTCCGACTGTGAGAGTGAATCAAATGGAGTGAATTGTCACTCTTTGGATTTGAGAGAGTATGAAAGCCAGTCAGTGCGGAGTAAACTAGTTTTCAAACTTCTTCAACAATCACTGTTTTTTTGGTTAATAATTTCTTCTTAAAAAAGGTAAAGTGAATGACGAAACTGATATCACGGTAATCGTGTTTTGTGTCCGACAAATACCATTATAATGGGTGAAAACAGTGCACTTTAGAATATCACTTTTTAACTACTGTTGGCACTATAATCGTGACGCCATTTTGGCATAAGACATGTGAATCACAGTGAGGTAATTGTCGTCGGTTTACATTTTGCCATAAGGCCAAAAAAAAATAAGTCGGTCTCTGGTCAGCGCGCGCGTCGATTTTAATCATGCGCGTCGATCTTTTTTATTTCCAAAATGTTCCGCGGTAGCTCCAACAGCGCCCTCTATTTCCGCACCTCCTCAATTTTTTTTTTACCAAAGAGCACCAAGGAATGGGAAAGTGCACCAAGGCAAATGATCGAAAGCAAATTATGGAGGACACCAATGTACATGAGGACACCAAATAAGCAAAATAGTACCCACCTGGTCTGTACAATCCAAGCTTGAAGAAAAAAAAAATTCGTCAATTCCGGAACTTTGGTCTGACCAGAGACCGAATATTTTTTTTTTGGCCTTAGTATTAAAATATATCTGTCAAAGGATCTTGATTTTTTAGATCGAAGTAAAGCTACATTTCATTTTGCATCCATGACCGCCGTGATGCTTTCCACTGATCTCCATGTAAACAAGCTGAATGGCTTGTTGGCCATTTGGCGCTTTTACAAGTGAATCTGCACGCTGGTTCCCGATGTTGCTAGTGAGGAGGGAACCAGTCTCAACCACTCCCATCGTTCAATCAAAAATAAAATTGAACGAAACATTAATTTGTTCCTAAGCTGAAAAATTACGTTTAGTAAAAAAAAAATGTATCATGTCAATTAAAGTAGATATATTTCTTTATAAATTAATTGTTCGGGGGGGGGACATGACGACTTCACCTCGATCAGCCGATGGGCAATCCAGAGTTTTAAGAGATCAGTGGATATTTATGTTGTTTAATTTAGAAAGGTACACTCACATCGCCCTCATTCGCCCAGAAATAACTATGGTAGTTTATGACTGTGCTCGCCGGTGAAAATGAATATCCCAACTACGGTGTAGTTTTAGTAGTCACCGTTGATATTGTTCGTTCAGTCCCTCGTTATTTGCTGCCGTTTGTGTAAAGATGCAACCACAATAGCAAGATGTTGCTTAAGGCGCTCCAAGAGAACTTCCTTCTGAAAGACATAAATGAAAATGGAAGTCAGTCCATCATGATCTGCGACAGGAATATTAGAAAGTTCGACTGGTTTCTTCTAATAATACTGCGCCATTCACATCAGCGACTGCCAGATTTAACTCTAAAATAGCTTTGTTTTTGCCTTCTCCCCCAGAAGTCAGCAGTTCAACAGCATATTTCATTAAACTTTGGTACACTCACGTTGTGACTGACGTCAACACCAATTAGAACACTCTAACCCTTGACGGAGCACCAACTTTTCACAGCCAGTGAACAAATTAACATTGGACGCACATGTCTCCAAAGTTCTCCATGTCGCAAATACAATGCCTTCCATTGCTTTCCTCCACGAAATTGGTGTCAAAACGCGTGGGAGACACCAGCAAAATACTCATTTAGACTCGGTACAAAAACACATGCGTTTATAAATCCTATAATCGGTCCACCATATCTTGAGCAAAAAAGGAAGAATTCATTTGTTCTTACTTGCTGTAGTTTTTCCTGTAACTTGACGCTGGAAGCCGATGCGTAATCGCTGAACGTGGCCGTGGAGTGATTGGACGGGAATCTGGTCATCATCATACTCACGTGGAAATTCGCACGACCCACTTTGTATAAAAGACATATCTGACGATAAAAAACAATATAATAGTAAATATGACAAGTTTTTACGAAAATGACCAACTGGTTGCATTCTGCAATTATGTTCACTGGTTGCATTCTGCAATTATGTTCACGAAGAAATTCACCTGATCTACTTTGTATAAAGAGACAAATGAAGATGAACAAAATCACACGATTGAAAGTGATGTCCAATTTGTTGATATCTTATAGACTACTTTTACTTGCAACTGTAACCCATTCCAACATCGGACTCGTATTATCCATTTTGAGATAATGATTGAGACAACGGGGGCTTGCTATTTAGAGTCGGTAAACTATTAAGTGTTTTCCAAATTTACCAACTCCGAATTGGTCAAACCCACTTTGTGTAAGAAATATATCTGGAGATGAAAATGTAAATGTGCATCCCAGAGTAAGTAAACGGTGACCAATAATTATGTGTGTAACTTTATCTCAACATCGAGTCTAAAGCTATCTTAGAACAAACAGTATATACCTACCCAAACTGTCCAAGTCGTGATGTCAGGAAAATGTTAACAGCGCCACCATTTGGTCACAGTTCACGCGCATTTCATCGGGCGACATGAACAATAGCTTTTGATATAGCTGGCGTAAACCACAGTTGTATTGTCGGCCTGAATCTCTTTAGGGGAGCAAAAAATAACCACTTTCCTTTCCTGACTTCACCATTTCGGGTATTGCTTTCTAAAATTAATTCTTTATTATATTTTGCGGATGTAAATGTCTGTCTGTGGACGTTCCGTGTGTGAATGCGTCGCTATATGAAATGCGCGTGAAACGCTGTCACAGAAAATGATGAGCCCTTTCTCGAAAGAAGTGACATCATATTCAACCGCGTAACCTTTTTTCCGAGCATATGCCATGGACGCTTAATCCCCTTCTCCGGCAGCTTAATGGCTTTGCAACTCGTGAATATCTTATTCCTTACAGTGGATAATACACGTTAAAGAACAGCCTCATTTTTTTCTATCCTACCTTGGGAAGAAACACTAGACACAGGACGGTTGTGTTGGTGATGATGATAGCTGAGCCCAGGATGGCGAACTCGATGGTCACGTTCTGCCGCACCACGTGCAGGTTGAGCAAGGGAAGTACAATGGCAAGAAAGATGGCCACGACGTAGATGGACATCGCGATGTATTTACCTGGTCGGCGGGAGTAATATGGTAACATTAGCTTGAAATTGTCACTGTTCGTTACAGTGTTCATTTTGAGACCAAGTCATCACAAGCCATCCAGACTCAAATCAAGTACAGGGTCACCGTGAGTTAAAAACAAACGAAACCCAAATGTTGGGGCCATATCTTTAGTGAAGTTCTGCATGTAGCACTTTCAAAATCTAGGATATGAAAGCCCAATTCATAAGCTTACCTTTTTAGTACAAGAATCATTCAATCACTCATGTAAATTTTAAACACAACCACTGTTTTAAAGTTCTGTCCACGGATCACAAAACGTTAAATGTTCTTTCAGCAAAACGAAAACAAATCACATAAGGATGTGTGTGAATTGTTCTCGTTTTGCTGAAAGAACGCACCTTATATAAGAAGGAGCTCACTACATCCTGCTTATTGACTGTGCAAATGGACTTTTAATTTACCTTTTACCGTACGTGTGATTGAATCGACTACAACACCCTCAGAAACCCTACTTAAGCAAAGTGTAGATTATGCTTTCATAGCATCATGCATTAATCGTGATCCCTGACCATATTACTACAGGGGATTAGCGCCCATGAAAATAATTAGAAAACGCCAACATAGGGTTGGATGGCTCAGTTGGAAGAGCCCCGTTAAGGTCTTCCGAAGGTCGCAGGTTCAAACTCCGCTTCAGTCAAAAACAAAACAAACTAGCCAATTTCTCATTGTACGTTTTTGTTTTTTCTCTCTCACAAACGACTCAAAACATTTGGATGAGTTAGACGTTCAGTATTCAATCTCAGAACCAATAAACAAAATAGAACTGATAATGTGAAACAAATACAAACTAAGAGCAAAAACGTACTATCAAAGTTGTCCCCATCACTCACTGCATGGGCCGATTGGTATTATTTGATGCAGTAGTTGACATCAGCTACTTGACAACGATTATGTATAAGTTCCCGCCTCAATTAAAAGTTATATGATACATATTATAAACTAATTCTACCGGTAGGACCGCCCATCATAGGTCAAAACAATATATTTTTTTTTTTGAGGGGGGGGGGGGGGGATAATCAGGAAGTCAAACACGTACTATCGTTCAGTGAAGAGACCGTGATTTTCTTGGTTTCCCAAGCCAGAAAGATGCCGAACATCAGTAGAATGCCCTTGGTGGCGTAAATCACGCCCATGAAGTAACTCACGTAATCGGACGTGCAATACGGAATGACGGACACTATGTAGATCTCTTCGCCAGGTCGAGACACATCAAGCTGTTTCAAATCAACACAGAAGAAGAAAAATATCTAAATGAGATTGCACACCATTGAAGATTTTGACTCAAAATCCAAATCCAATCTTCATGGAAGGGCGTTTTTGTATTGGCTAAGACGTGTTAGAGGCCCCTCTGGTCTATTTTTTTTTATTTTGATGAAGTTTAGTCAACTTTCATGCTAAGTATACTTTCAAAGGTTTAGGTCAATCAGACAAATCGTGAAAATCGTGCCTGATCGTCAAGGGCAAAACCTAAGTTGATCGTGAAGCATGGAAATAAATGTGAAGTTGAATCGAATTGAATTGAATTGAGTTGAACTGAATGTTGTAGGCCTTTAGCATTATTATAAAACCACAGCAATGAACCACTATGCAACTTACCCTTGGCTCAGACCTTGTTTCAGCAACATACGTCTCACCAAATAATATCCATATCGTGAATACTACGATGTCAACGGCCACAGCAAGAAATACGCCCAGTATGAGCTTACTGTTTGGCAATGCCTGATCGTTCGTGGAAAAAAAAGAACAAAATGTGCCTGGATAAGCTCAACAAATTGTGACTTTACTGAACAGGAAGACGATATACTGATATCTATAAGGAAATACAGTGAGTGTTGTTTTCACCCAATACACATTTAACATTACCTAGCATGTCTTCCACATAATACACCAACCCACAATACACCTGCACCGTCAATTAATAAATGTAATTACCACGCGTTTCAATTTGGCCACAGCTCTGCTGAATATGGCGTGGATTCTGTAGGTTTTCATGAAGAGCGCCCCGAACGCCAGAGAGATACCAACGCACACTAAGCTGAGTTTTATCTGTGGAAAGGGGAAAAACTCATTAAACGAATAGGCCTACCTCATAATTACCTGCAAGGTTCCTACAGAAATCTTAAAAAGAAATTCCATGAGTATCTCAAAACAAAATTAGGGCTTTCCATGACCGATTCCTATGCTGTTTTTGGCATCTTAGGTGCCTATTCATAATACATTGGTCAGTCATCACACCAAGGAAAGGGATGTCAGTCCCTCGCAGCCTTCCAGTCAAAGATCCATACTATTCGTATCGTTTGTGACCGGTCACCACTCCCAGCTGATTTGTATATAGCTCATCAATATGCTAAGCACTTTTCTGCTTATGGCCACACGTCCGAATTACTTGTCTACGGCTGAATGTTACACACGCGTCTATGGGAGGCGGCTGCAGCCGCAGCCGCCTCCATAGGCGCGTGTGTAATTGATTGCCATAGCGAAGTAATTCGGACACGGCCTTATTATAGACAATGCCTTATCATATTTTCTGTCTGTTTTCCCCTCATTTTTTGTTGGAAGATAATAACACTGAGGTCACTCACGTGACATAGCCGAATTATTTCTGTATCCGTGAAGTCAGATTGGTCTACACCAAACAGGAAGACGGATGCGTACAGCATGAGGCTACCGAGCACGATCAGGTTATTCAAAGGTGGTGTAGATATCTTGATTGCCCTGGGGATAAGAAGACAATTGGCCCCGGTTCAAATGAAAATCCCTTTTATGCGATATCCTCGTCCTGTACGATGTCCTTGCATATATAAGATGGAATTGAGGGGACCATCTCAATATGCTTGCCGTTAGATGTGTTGGATAGTAACCCTTAGGCCTATAGTTAAAAATTGTCCATCTATATACAACTCTATCCATCGTACCTCATTTCAAAATAATTTGATGTAGCTTCATGGGCAAGCCCTTTAAAAGCACACAAATATTATGATGGTATTATTGGAGACGAACAACTTAAGCCTGCCTTTGAAACTCATTACTTTTCACCTGTTTGTGTTATTGGGTGAACGCAAAGAGGCGCAAGGAAATTATCAACAATGAAAAAATCTCACCTCTCTTTTCTAAATTTGACATTTATGTAAAGAAATGCAACATCAAGAACAATCCCCGATGAAGTGAAGATAAAGAACGTCAGCCGAACAGGTGGACCGATTGTATCCTTTTGGTCGATAAGTGTTTTCCCGTCCACTGGTGGCGTTCCATCTGTTCATCACGAACAAACAGATAAATTCAAAATCGTATCAAGTCACTGTCGTTATGGAATGGAGGGAAGGGGGGGGGGGGAGAGTTATTAGATCTCCCCCCCCCTAAAAAAACAACAACAAAGAAATAAAACGGAGAAGTAAAGGGAGTACTGAAGCTACTTAATGCAAAGGTTTTGTAGAAATTGCCGTGCGTTTGTATTCTCGTGTTTCTATATTACGAAAACCGCCACCTAGTTTTAGATATTTCTAGCTCCTGCTCTTCGATTTTTTCAAACGTCTTATGATGACGTCTTTGAAAAGATGACGTCTCTGATAAACCTCCTGACTTATGTCATGAAACGTTTCTGTTGATAATGCACTCTACAATGAGTAAATATGAAAGGTGTCGCTTGATACCATTTGCTTCATTTCCTTTTATGGGTTTCGACTTTCGAACATCGTTTGGAATTATGAACAGCAACATAATGTCAAATTTGTGTACATCTTGTCGACGCTTCAAAAAAATACCTGGCCAACGAAACCTTCTGTTCTGCACTTCTCGGAAAGTCGTTGACTCGTTGTGATATTCGATTATTTCCGTCGACTTCCCGTCTGCAACGATTATCACATCAGAACACACACGTCTAATATTAATTTGTCTTTGTTCTCTTCTTCGGAAGAATTGTTCATACTATGATTTTTGTGAATACATGATTATTAAGGAATCACAATTTCAAGACGCCCGGAAACTATTGTCAGATTGTTTTTGTTCAGAACAGATGCTATTGTGAATAATCAAAGAAGATTTCTCTCAAACAATATTAAGTGTCGTGAGCTATTTTTGGTCACTATCCCTTGCTTGCGTTGGTTGCCGCGGAAAGACACAATAGGCCCGTGAAGCCATTCTTACCTTGAAACTGAGCGATGAAAAAACGCACATTGTTCTCCAACCGGAAACCACCATGCTCTATTAAAACAGAACCCTGTAAAAGTTGGGAGCGTAGACGGGGAACGATATTAAAAGTAATGAGCAGTGATCGACATGTACACGAATTCCAAAATTATAGTTGAGGAACAACTCTCCATTTTTGCCAATACACCTAAATTTCGACGTAAGTTGTCACTGCAAGTATTCTCTATACTAAGCTAGTGAGCACAAGTAAATCGAAAGTCTTCCCATCTCGAAGTGACAAGCTAGAGTCAAGTGAAGTCAGACATCGGTTCTTCTTTTCGTTATAATGTGACCTGATGTTATTTGCCTCCAGGATCAGGAGTGAAATGCGACTGATATTACGACCAGTAGCATTTCTTGGGGGGGGGGGGGGGGGGAAAGCAAAATCACCGATTTTAAAGGGGGTGTGACAATCACGAGGACTTATCATCTTAAAACAATCCTTTTAATTCTACAGAGGTCTCGATTAACAGCGCGTATGCATCATTAGATGAAGTTATCCACAAATGTTAGATGCCTGTTCAAATTCCCGATTTATTTTTTTAATTGTTTATTATTAAGTGCATGCACTTTGGTAATTAAAGACAAACACTTACCGTTGGCCCAACGAAACGAGTCTGGTAGACACTCTCCAACAGGACGCCTGACATTTCTCTGTCCGTGTAGGAGAAATCGTGTAGCGCCCTCGCGGGCTCAAGGCTGGCCAGCTTCTCGATCGAGCGGTTCAGCGACATCGCTATGTGGATGAGGGAGTCGTACGACTCGATATGCTCAAGTCTATCTACGCCCTCACGCGATAAGAGACCGCGCAGAAAGTCCAGCTGGTAATCAGGTGGTTTCTAATAGGTCAATAAAAAAAAAAAACCAAAGTCACACAGAGAAAGTCTACGTTAGGTAGTAAAAAAAACCCAAACCAACAACACACCCAACAGCCTACAGAGAGTACCATCAATGTGGACAGGCTTCGTTATTTAAGTGCAGTGATAATAAAGATACAAAGAGTCTACTTAGAGGAATATAGACCTGCCCTCAGCGAGGGCGCCCTTTGCAAGCTCTCTATCGGTATAACTTACGATGTGGCCGTAATTAATTTCATCCAGGTTGTCTACAGATCTCCAGGCGGGTACGGAAAAGTGATACCCTAGTGCTTTCTCAAGCTGCTCTGCGGTGCAATCATCGTCATTCACGGCCATCCACCACTCCTCTGGGTACCATCCTACAAGGATCCACGCGTACCTTGGTCCGAACATCTCCATGCGATAAATCTAAAGGGAAAAAAAAGAGTCACATAGTACGTTTTTGGAGCACGGCAAGGCTGATAGCTACACTGGGTAAAGGGCCGCTGAGAAAAATGTTAAATGACAGAAACAAAGAAAGGAAAAGCAAAGGAGATCACTGATTAATTCAATTAATTTAAGAAAGAACACATTTATAAAGGAAAAGATCAAAGAATGAACGGAAGCAATGAGTTCCATAAATATACCACTTGAACAATGGCCACATCAATAAAACGAACAAACAACTATACATCGTCTGTGGGTAAAGCGCTGCACACCGGCAAAGAAATTGAATATTCCTGCTTCCCGAATCCTTATGTCACGCCTTATTACCACGACTTTCAACCAGCCTTCAATTAAGTAAATATTGTTACCGCTTCGCTTGAATTCAAAACACAACTGAGCGAACAACGCCGCCGTGATTGAATTGAGCCGTCTTGAAACATTCTTTCCGATAGTTAATGGGAAGCATTTTGTGAACATAAATAGTCTCTGGAGTGCTCCCAAATTGAATTCTGCCGCACTTCGTGAACTCAGCGATGTCAGGCAACGAACACATTACATCGTCAGTTGAATTTAGTTGCTATTAAAATGTGTCTGTTTCTAATTAAATAACACATTAAAAGTGCTACAAATCAATCTTTAGCAGGAAATGGACGTTATTGCAAATATTGGGACAAGGTTTGCGCCCTAGCGGCGAACTCAATCAAATTTACAGGCTGAGAACGGGTCATATAAACACACATACATCATTTATAAACACTGCTGCCACGTCCTTTTTACCGTTGTTTTGTTTGAACTCCTAAAATAAACTTCACAATCTACACTATAGAAATGGGTTGTTTTGTGTTTCGGAGCCTTCATGTTGGCAAGTGGTTGAAAGCTTTTTGAAAACAATAATAGTTTAGTCCTCACAAAATATTTTTTTTTCGTTCGTGAACTCTGCAAATTTGACGTGCGTTGGAAACACATCGCATTGTTATTTTTAATTTAGTTATCAATCCGTACGTTTCCGTTGCTATTTCTACAACAGATACATTTTGACAATTGAGCAATATTCTTGCATTCTTTTTAAACGGAAAGAATTGCTTCCATTTATAAAAGTGTCGGTAAAGTTCGCATCTAATACAATAAAAGTTTCGAACTTCTTGTCAAGTTGGAACGATGTACGATATCCATTGTTTCGCTGATTTCCTTTCCCTGTAAAGTCCGTTTTAGCTTGCATACCAACCAGGGATGTAGCGACCGGGGAGGGGGAGGAGGGGGGAAGGGAGGGCGGAGGCCGGAGGGGGGAGGGAGGGGGAAGGGAGGGGGGAAGGGAGGAGGGGGTTGTCTCAGTCGGCAAATGAACAACCCAATCAAAATACAGAACAAGGGCTCATCTCACGGGCGTCGCCATAGGAGGGTTGTGGTTGGTAGCATGCACTACCCCCGATTCCAGTAATCGTTTTTATCAGCAAAATCTTCCCATTGGCAAAATCGTCTGTTTGTCAGAAAATATGGTGCAACGAAGAGCGCCACCTAACACCTATTGTCCGATAGTGTCCAAGATCGTCATGCTTTGTGTAGTCCTCTAATATCCAAGATCGTCTGCTGTGTGTAGCACCTTTAAGTCAGATGGTGTGGGTCCCCCCCCCCCCCAAGAAAACACAAGAACAAATTACCGTGCAGAAGAGCTTGATGGCAGTGTCGAAATATGAGAGAGCGAAAATGATTCTCGCGTCGTGTCTCTGAAAGAAAGAAAAGTGCACTTAGTGATGCTTTATTGTATCATACTCCAGCTCCACAGATGCATGTCATATCAGGGTCGGGACTCTATCACATATGTCTCATTTCTATTATTTGTAGGCTTGTGCGATTTTAGGCGACACTGTCTTAGTGGAACACGAGTACAGAAAAATCGCTATAAGTGTATTTCTTACCAGCCGAACATGACGCCAAGTCGCCACATTGAACGGATCTGCTGACTACGAAAATCTACGATTTGTCACATAATAACCGAATGGCTTTGTTCGTTCTATTACAGGATGTTGGCGCACGTAAAGTTCATGCGTTTTCTCGGCAGACCTAACCCGTGCAATACGCTAAGCTTTGCAGCACAAATTGGGCGGAACACTGCTCCCAATTTAATTATGTAAATTTGAGTTTTATATTGAACACGTCTTCGCAGTAGTCGAGGTAGTTAAGGGAGGACGGTCTAGCGCTATACTAGGCCTATATCGGCAATACTGTAAACTAATCTTTTTTACGTTCACGGTAGACGCCTGCGTGTCGCAAGGCACGTATTGGGCGCATCGTGGTTCATTTGTAATACAGTTCCTGACATGAATTTCGTAAGCTCACTGAATGCAATACGAAATCCTTACGGGAATTGAAATAGTATCGGTCGTCATATTTCGGCAAACTATTCCTGTGGGGCTGTGTCAATCAATGGCATCCATATTCGACCACAAGACCCAATGGAATACCTGCAGGGTTAACAACCGAACAAAAACAAAGAGGATGATTTCCATTGTACGACTCATTCATACCTGCTTGGTATTACGTAGGCCTATGATTAAATAGCGGCCCATGGATATTATTGGAAATAACGCCAAAAAAGGATAACACATTTGTATTACGCATTTAGATTGTGGTCGTGGAAAAATGGGCAAATAACGCAAAAAGGGTAACAATGTAATATAATGCGTGGCTTTCATACGCTGTTAATAAATAGTTTTCGAGCCCCTCGTAATCGATACGCGTCTTTCTACTTCCCCAGCTATTTTACGCTAACATTCAATTTTGTCAATTTTACCAACGTCCAGCAAAATTGATTTACTGCATATAGTTTCCCCCGGTATAATTGTAATTATAGTTATCATACATTCAAACCGTAAGCACACATATTCATCAATTAGCATTGGATTTCGTCCCAGTCCCGTAGCCAGGATTCTGTTTGCGTTGCAAAATACAATTTTCATCCCGTTAAACCCATTTTCCGTCCCGATTTCGCTTCGGTCTGCGTCCCGATTTTGCTTTTTGAAATCTCCATCCCTTTGGAATCTGCCAATCTTCAGACACCCCCCCGGCTACGCCAGTGTTTTTATATCAAGCCTAACCATAGTATTCATTGTCTTATTTTACACAAATTAATCATAGTTTTGTTCAATTTAATTGTTTGTTTAATCATTATAATTGTTTTCATGCGTTACATCCTTACACGGCATCTGCAATATAGATGGCTTTAAAAAAAGAGAATATTGGTACTTGCCACTTTTTTACTTCTCCGTTCCTTCTTGTTCATTTTTTTTTCAGTATTACTGTTTTTTTCTTTTTCGGAGTGCATTTCAATTCTCGGTCTGATAACATGTGAACGAATGTAGCGATTGCACTTGGCGACACAAGGAAGATTGCTGTATCCTTATACCATACTTATTTTCTTAACAACAGCATTTGAATGATATTGTGTGTGGAATTCAATGTCTGAATGTTCCCGTTTTACTACAGGTGTGAGGATTTCGATCGGTATTGACGAATATTCATATTTTGATGTTTAAATCAGAAGTCCAAAGAATGATAAATGGCTAAATTGATTTAAAAAAAAATGCATGTGAAATTCTTCTTAGGCGAATTTGAATATCAATATTTGTGAACTTGAATCATTTGCGGTACAAAAAGAGCTGGGAAACCAGTACGATTTTAATTATGGCGGAACGCATTTCTTTCCTTAAGAATCCAATAATACAAGAACAGGTGCTATATTAGAACGGTTACATTTTATGCAGGGACCAATACACAAGTGGGGGAATTCACTGGCCTGGGGGGGGGGGCACTTGCCCCCCACAAATTCCAAGTCATGGTGTTCCCCCAGCCCACACACACACACACCCAAAATCGCCCCTACACTGTAAAAACGTTGGGTAAAATACTGTTGGGCAATGTAATTTACCTGACATTGGTATGAAATTACCTCATGTTGGGTTGAATTGGGTAAAAACTGTCGAACTATTGGGAAGAATTTGCCCTACAGTGTAGGCAGTTGATAATTCGACCAGCACTGGTCGAATTATCAACCCGACCAGCACTGGTCGAATTATCAACCCATTTTGCCCAACTTTTTTTGTTTTACAGTGTACCGTCATGAAATATGTCTGGTTGTTTTTAGTAATTAAACAAGGAGATGAGTATAGTACTCGATTAGTTTCAACTCGATGCTACTAATTCCCTTTCCCCCACGGATCTGAGTAAATCTATTTGTAATAAGAAATAGGGGTAGAGAACGCCCCCTGGCATCAAATGATGTCCGGTCGTGTTCCCCTCCCCAACTTTTCTACTTGCAGCAGCATGCTTGCCAGTTGATTTGGGAGAATGTGGTTCTGGATCCCCCTTGGTACGTGCCCCCATAAACCACCACCACGCAAATGAAATAAATATCCTTGATACGCCATCACATGGGCCGGAAATCGCGTGCAAAAGGTTACTCTGTGCTAAATCTTACTGGAAAAGGTCAGTGGACTCGTATTATAAAGAACTTCCATTTATTGTCTCTCTCCAAAAGAGACGCTAATTGAGTCGATCGAACCATGGTCACCCCTAGGAATTACTAAAAGCATGGAAGATGATTGTCTCATTTTAATCGGCAACGGTAATTAGCAGATTCTTCGCCAATTAAAGTATAATGAGATAAGACATTTTCCGACGCACACAAATGAATGGGACCCTTGAGGAATGTAAGACTTTGTAAGATGACCTTGCGCAAGGACAAGAATACTACGCACGTTGGCCATTTCCAATAATCAGGGACAAAACAGATTTCCTGTTATGTCCCTCGTGCGAACTAAAATGAAAAAAAAATGAAGAAATCTTTCAGCGAGGCAACTTTCAAATCCCTGACATTTTCCAACGTTGGCAGGCTATTTTTTTTTTAAGAATGGTACTTTGTGATACAGAGGAAAAACTTTTTAAAGAAAAAAAAAAGCATTTTGTCAGAATTTGCCGCTGCAAAGTGCGACTACCTTGCACATAGAATTTCGTGTAAATTAAGACAACTGCGCTAAAAACCCTGTTGCATGTCTTGGTCTTTATTTATGTCCTTTCAAATACGAAACTACAGACTACACTTATAATTTAAATATACGTTTTGGTACTCAAATGCATTCGTTGTGGTACTAAAATGAGCCTAAAACTGCAAAGTTTTTATTAGAAAATTGCACCTTTGCCTCGGAGATCCTCTGAATTATGCATTAAAGAAACTTGTAGATTAAAACAAACATGACAAAGGAGCTACGTATCACTCCCCAGGTATATGTCAACGCCATTATCAATGTTTTTATCAATAGTTGCTGAAATAACAGTCAAAAGCGATCATCTCGCTGTTGGATTTGGTTAAGAAATTGTTTTTAACATTATACATTCAATGCGCAGGGATTGCGCGCACAGGGAATTGTGACCCGGATCACTGGCTACATGAAGCCCTCCTCTGAGATCTCAAAGAAACTGAAGAGCACTCACGCCATATATAAGGCCAGTGCTTCCTCTTTTAAGGAAATTTCCTTATTTTAAGGACATTTAACGTCCTAAAGAAATTTCTAAGGAAAAGAAACTAAATAAGAAATGTTTAAGGAAATCCAAAATCTGAAGGACATTTCAAAGCAATTTCGAAAATACACGAAAAAAATCAAGCAAATCATTTGAAAGGTTAGTAAATTTGAATCCAAACGAATTCTTAGGCCATTTGGGGGGTCTCTATGGAACAGGACTAGAGCGGCTACGGCTCAAGGGCTGCGTCCTTAGTCATGGCCAGCACACACAAAGGAGCCTTTAGCCGAAGTCGGCATCAAAATATTACACTGATTGCAGATGATATGAGGACACAGCTAAGCTTTGTAAAAAGAGAAAATTAAAAGTTCAGAAATAGCCGTTTTGTATAATTAGCCTACCAAGGTGACTTCATTATGGAAATATATCAGTAAAATTCCAGAAAATCCTAAAGAAATTTCAGGAAATCTCTGGAAAATTATGTGTCAAGTTAAGGAAATTCATATTAGGAAATAGGAAGCATGGAGACGAGTAAATAGCCATGTGACTTGACCAAAGAGCTCGTACCTTGAGACTCAATAGCTGCTGTTCAGGTTTACCAGCGTCACTGATTGCTTCGATGGCAATCACGGTCACCCTTTCTGCCTCTAGTTTGGCGCGAAGGTCCTCTGCGTTCTGCATTTTTAAATAAAAAAGGACAACAAAGGAATTCTAAATTTTATCACACTACTGAAATCGAGGCTCTTAGTGCTGAGCCATTGTATAAATAATCCAACAAAAGACAGCGCTGAGGCCTTCGGCTTCAGTGTCAATCATTCGTCAAGTTTGATTCAATTATTTTAAGCATGCAACCAGCGTTTTTTCTTGTATTTTTCTGTTTTCTTTTTGTCAAACATGCAAATCAGTTCGTAGTGTTTAACAAACGGTGTAAGTTGTATTAAATCCGTGCTTATTTGATGCTATTAGGGAACTATTTTGTTACGCCATTACGCGGGCTAATACTTTGCATTAATAAGAGTTCAGCATTCTATATAAGGCTTAGGCGCGGCCGTTTGAATTCAGTGGCCGTCAGCCTGACCTGGGACACATCTCATCATGCCTTCATTTCTTTGTGAGTTTTGTTTAATATTAAATTATGTTTGAGATGATAATTGGTTTCCAGAGTTACTTTATTTTGTCACTGTATCCCGGGGCAAAAGAGGACCACATAACAATACACTAAAACGAACGTAGGTCAACCGCGTATGCAGAATCAGAATTCATTTAAAACGTTCGTTTTAATACTACACGAAAATTACGTGAAATGTTCACAGTTACTAGTCAATAACATGAACTTTATTTCTACGTATTTTCTTAAAAAATTGAGCGAGCCATTTTTCTTTTTAAATATATTTTTTTCTGACTCACTTTGTACTGTGAAGTTTTACGACTATATTGCCCGTCCACACGATCAGATTTAAATACACCATCGAATATGGGAACTATTTTATCAAGCAAACCCCTGTTTATTTTAAGAGCAACATAAATATTTTTAATTTGATAGGAACATCTCAAAATGACGTACGGTCTATAAACCGGTACTTGACACGCGCTGTGCTTTTTGAAAATCAATGATGTACTTTCTCGCAAGGGTGAAGTATATGGGAAAGTCTATAGCACGGGCCACTGAACTGTTCTAAGGACATGACATTCTATTACAGCTTGCTCTCCTTCTGTCTGTATTGCCGGTTTTTACCATCTCTCATTTAATAACCCAACTTGTGTTCATTCACCATGTAATATATGCACCTTGCGAACTATTAAACAGTATTGTTGGTGAAGGTCGGTTGAAATGTCAGCGCGCCGACATGAATGTCGAGGCACGCCGCTTCATTGAGCCTTTTCACACGGTGTTTAATTGTTCTTGTGTGTCGGCTAGTTTACGCCATCATATTAAACACCGTCATATTCAATGCCCTGCATTTAATTTCAAGGACGACGATGTCGCAACTGTGCCCTTACACTTGCTCTTCAAAAAAAATCTACTTTGGTCTTCCTATGAAAGGTTTCTTTAATCTTAACAACATTCTTTCGCATTAACTTGTTTGGGTGTCTGCAACCCTCAAACAACCCTGAACAACAAATCTGTTTTAACCATTCGAAATTTCAATATTTTTGCTCCTTACCTCATTCCAAAATATTTTGTAGAAGACGAGGCATAGAAAAATAGTGAAAGAAAAAAGTTCAGGGTGAAATTTGAGCATGAAGCAGGGACAGTGCACCTTTAATTTCAAGGACCACGAGTCCTGACACCACTCTCATACTAGACTTAAATCAAGCCTGACCAGTCGAATTAAATCCATGCCGCGTACTTTGAGACCAAGCGTGAGAATACATTTCAAACATTGTCTTACCAAGCGAAAGTACTCGTTATCTTCGAAGATAATGGCTACCCTGCTCCAAGCCATATATCGCATGAATGCTACCCGTGCTGGGTTGACGCTGTCTTCGCTCCAATACATCTGTACGGTCAGTGGGTACCTTGTCCGGTCGCGTAGAGCTTGTGAATTGGCCAGACAAACCTGTTTTGCGAAAGGACAAACAAAATGGCACACTGAATTCTTAAAGGCACATATAAGATAATTTGCATTTATCCCAAAGGTACCCTACCAAATTATTAGCAAAAAGCTCATTGGATGAAAGATCGCACTGGTACTAAACACCCCGTGAAATTATTCCGTCTACTTTGCTGTCATTAAGAAGAAATCAAGAAATGTAGGTGATTTCCAACGATCAGTCAATATGGACTGATGTTTTTTTGAAAATAAAGAGTTATGTAGACGAAATCGTGTCTTCTCGAAAAGTGTAATAGGCGTATTTGCTGAGCTGAAACTTCAACAGGTTATAGGCGTTGAACATTATTAATTAGATATTAATATAAGAGGTGTTATTATTGGAAACGAACAAAGACATGAAAAGCAAACGATCCTGTAGGTTTTTAATACGAAAGTATTTTTGGGTAGCGTAGATTTCACAGAGTGTAAGTTTTGAATTCATGAACTCGAGGCTCGAACAAACCCGGCCAATTACCAACTTCAAAATGTATTGTCTTGTTGTTCCTGTGATCGGCAAATGTATTGTATTATTGCAAATGGTTTTCATTACCTTTATACCCAAAATGAAAATCACAAGCAACATCTCTCGAGGCTGAACGCAGGCCTGTATGGACAAACAGTCTACGTATAAATAAGCCTCTTTGTAAAGCCAGGGCCGTAATAGCAAGCATTTCATCGTCGTGGCAACGATGTCAAGTGGCTTACATATTATGTTACATATACAAATTGCCATACATAGATTTCAATCAAGTCAATCACAAACCGCATTGTTATAATGAGTTCAATTTCGCCAGCCCAATCTCGTTAGCATTAACCCATACGACAATACGATATAGGTTAATATGTCAACGTAAACATCAGCTGTACAAATTTAGGCGTGGGTTTATTTGTACTTCTGAATTAATTAGAACACTGAGTGACGAAGTCGTGAGTCGTTACATTTTCTCCAATATGACAGATTTCCATTTATGTAGTTGAGTGTCGTATCTGCATTCATGTTTTTGCTTGTCCATATGTCCTCTTTGTATCTATCTCACCTACCTAATGACTAACTGACTTACGGAATGTCTCACTGCCGACTGACTGACTGTCACGTGTGAGCCGGGCAGTGCTATCTCATAGGATTACCCCATAAAGCCAATGAGAGTACACCACATGCATACAGGTTTTATAATCTTGATTGTTTTATTTTTAGTTATCTAAATTTTCGATGTGATTTTGATTGAAATTGTGAAGTTATAGAGGACAAAAAAACAAAAACAAAAAAAACAAGATTGTCGAAATATTGAGCAAGCTCTGAATGAAACAATTTTGAGGGTTGTTGTTGAATTTATTATTCCCCATAGTTTAAGGGATTCGATTTTTTTTTGAATAATTCATTTATGATAAGATGGCTGCTTGGTAATACATCAGCCTTGCTCTAACACCGACCACTGTACTTGGCAAGAAAGGTCACTCAAGTAGAAGATTACAAGAACCTCAATCAACAGAAGAACATGAAGCTCAGTCAGAAACGTCATTTGATAAATTTGGGTTTGAATTTTTATCATTTATATTTAAATTGTTAGAGAGAGTATATTGAATTCGATATGTTTGGAGTACTGGAGTTGCATCGTGAATTCGAATTAGTAAGTAGGGCCCTGCTAAAGAGATGAGGTAAACTAATTTTGATAAAGAATAGAACTGTTAATTGTGAAGAATCATTTAACTGTATTAAGAAACTCAAGAAACAGTGGGATTGCCCCCAAGTGATTTGTAAAATTGTGCCTTTAAATAGATGACGATGAGAGTTTTAATATAATAAAGAATTTTTGGACGTGCTGCATTCCTTTCATTCATGGTGTCTGATTTTGTAAGTGTTCTGTTTTAAGACCTGGGATTGCCCATCCAAGTTTCATTCGGTTTATACTCTAGACAGCTTAATTCAGGAATGGTGACAAGACGCTTCTAGAGATAGCCATTGTGATTCAATTGAAAAGAAATCTGCATGTGCACTTCATGACCATTTTATTTTAGCTTGTCTTGTTTTGTTTTCAAATTGACAAAATTGCAAATAGAGGAAGAACAATTCGCAAACAATAGTGGCTATTTTTAGTGAATGATTAGACATGCTCAATCGGTTTAATTTGATGCTGGATAATCTTAAAATTCACACGGTTATTCTTTTCCCCCAAGAGATTAATCAAATTTCATTATTTGCGTTTCTTGTACTTTAGTCGCGGGCCTCGGCGAATTAAGTGACTAATTTAATCAAGCTTCGTCGGAGCCGGAGATAAATGCCTAACGTTTCAATTTCCATCAGCGAGAGAGCGTTACGGTAAACTATTCCTGCCAATTACTTTTCAATAGAGTGAGTTAGAATGTCCTGACACTAAGGCGTATTCGAAACTTCGATCTCAAGTGACCCGCGAACAGTGTTCTCGGTTGCCGACGGATTACGAACGCCAAAGTGCACAGCTGGCCGCGCATGCAAGGTGGTAGCCGCCATATTAAAACGTCGAATAAAAAGAAGTGAAAACTATATTTCTATCTTTTGAAACCAATTTTAAACACCCATAAAAATTCTAACGCCTATAGAGCCCTCTGTGCTGAAGTTCAAATTACTGCTCCTGCTCTGAATTAGTGATTTCAATTTTACACACATAAACATTAATGCAAATAGCGGTAAGTCCGCCATCTTTGCCCTTATTCTTCATATATCCCCAATAAGTGGGAGTGAAAATCCTGTTCGCGAACACCGATCGCGTGTTCGTTCTCTTCGTTCGAAACCCCGTTCTGGTGTTCATTCAACACGAAAACGGGGTGCGTAATTTTTTTTCCTAGGAGGGTTAGGGGCAATGTCATGAATAATTCAGTTTTTCCTTTGAATCATTGCAAGACTTAGGTTCTCGTTCTATTTTCCCCTTAATTTAAAATTATCTCAGTGATAAATTTGGAGAAGAAAAATAGCTGAAGAAAATGAGCAGCGACGACGTGGATTCGAACCAGGGATCTTTGTATCCATAGCTCATCTCGCTATCCACTAGGCTACTGTGTGGTAGCTCGACGACAACCGTTCTTTAAAATGCTTTAATGTATTGTAACTAGTTGAGTAACTAACAACAATGCTGTTGATGTCATTGTCCGTTCTCATGGATAAACATGAATTATTCATGACATTGCCCCTAACCCTCCTAGGAATAAAAATTACGCAAACGGGGTTTCGAATACGACCTGTAGATAAGCGCCTCACACGATCAAAAACTTCAAAATTTTCAAACATAAAACTGTACTTGGTCGACGAGAATCGTGATCCCCTACTGAGAAGGGCGCACAAAAATCCGGAATTATTTGTTCCCCACAAACATCCACTGTCGCGCTTTACACCACAATCGTGTAGGTAATAATTTACAGCACTTATCCCCCATCGAATGTCGTGCCCAAGGGGTTCCATCTGCCTACATAAAGACAGGTGTTGAGGATGAAGTGAATACACGCATCTGAATGTTTCGTGACTAGGCCAGTGTGACAGTTGCCGTAATCATAATATCATAATGTCACAGGTAGCACATGAACATGAAATTTCCAACGCTTTTGATATTATTAACTCGAATATAACTAATTGAGTGTATTTGTTAGACGTTGCAAGATTAATTGTTCACTGGTCAATTAATTTAATTTTTCGGATAAAGGGGTAGTGTAAACAGTAATGCTTGATTTCAGAGGTAACGTTAACACTGATGCTTGGTTTACAACCTTAAACACTTGTTATAAAGAGTTTGGAATGTACGCACTCATCGTGTTGTGTAGTGTTCACAGGTTCTGCCAAAGCTTTAAAGAACTTGTTTCGCCCCAATGATCTCTGATTTATATCCGTACTGAGAGTTTTGTTTCTCAAGTTCTCGCAAATCTTTCTCTCGCATTCATCCTCTTATCTTTAGCGCCAATTAATGACCTGTAATGTCTTCGGGTCTCATTGATTAAATTGTATTTTGTTCACGACATTTTATGTGCATTGTTCATGACTGCGTGCACTGCAAAACCTGCTGTTTACATTATAAACGCTCTTTGGTTAACAGTTTAAAAACATTTGAACACTATTAAAGGGAGAGGCGCCATTTGCTGTAGTGAAAGGCCCAGGCTAAATTATGAGTCAGATTAATCATTTAGATGTCAATGTACCAAAACAAAGCTTTAAATAGCTGGCTTAAAATTTGCAGCTGCTTGTAACTGATATTTGACTTTGCCTTTGTCGGGCAGTGGGTGCGTGTGAAGCAATTTTGCCACCGTCGTAAATATTTAAATCCTCTTAAAAAAAGGCCTTTATTTCAGTCCAACTCCCAACGTAATCAAAGTTGCATAAACCTTCACCAAAGCCACGCTGTTAAAAGCTTTCCTCGTCTCAATCAAATTCAATATCTCGCCCATGCCATGAATGTTCCATTATCGTCAAATGGCACAAAGAGTAATCTTCAAATCCTTATTCGGATTTGTTTTCAATGTTCACGATCGCTTTACCTCCATGAAAATTCATCAGACACTACGGCACCCTTGACATTTAATATCCACGACAAGTGGAAAATGGTTTCATTTCGCTTTGATAAACGAGGCAGAAACATTATCCGTAACAGTCTATAAATTCTCCCAAGTACATCACTCGCTATATGATATACCAAACACACACCATTTATCCGTTGCATGATATTCATCATAATCTCAATACAGCACACTCTCTCGTTAGTGTGCAATGATTTACAATGACGGTTACCCTGCCCGGGCCGTGTGCATAATACAGGAAGCCAAGGCAATTTCTCGAGTCTCGACCGTTATTAAAACCGGCAGCTAATTCACTAGCAAAAGGTAAAACGTTTCATACCTAGCGAGTCATAGTGCACAACTGATTGATTATTGGAGTGCACAGCGATTACTGCTCATGCGTGTCCCAGGAACCATAGCGATATATTGTTTTTGTTTTACTGGCTTCGTGAGAGGCGTGGACTGAATCAACAGTTTGGCAAGTGATAACTTGCCGTGGGTTAGCGATTGCCGCGCGTTCTGTCTCATCTTATCGCCCACGGGATTTCAATCATGGATATCCTTTGATGTTATCAAGCTGGTATCAATCTGAATGTGTGGCGCCAAAAGCAACAGAACACACTTGCTAGGATCATTTATAAGAGATAATTTCATTAATTTTTAGTATGTTTGACAAACGCTCGTGCCCTGGATTACATCCTGATAATCAATTCAAGAGAATTCATGATTAGCATAAATTCAACGTCAGGGAATCATTTAAGGAAATACAGTGTGCCAAAAAGTGTAACATTAAAACAAAAACTGTTTAATGTGATGTCACCAGTTCAATTACCTATTCCATGCCTATTCAATGTTTAACCCAAAGTCAGCATGTGCAGGTGAGAGTGGACCAAGTAAAATTTACACCCTTTCACTTAATCGATTGTATTTCTGGATCTACGGACTTAAATGTTATGGGGTAAAAAGGAGTAAATTGAAAATAGTCAGGCTTTAATGTAATATACAACAAACACTTTAAACAGTTTTATTACTTGTTTTCTGAATGTTGCACTTTTTTCACACTCTGTACACACCATCATTTGTTTTTATTTACTGTGGCTGGTAACCAGTTGTCATCATTTGTTTCTATTTACTATGGCTGGTAACCAGTTGTCATCACCGAGCAATTACGTCACGTGTTTATCCTTTGCCCTGAGCTTCGTTAAATTCGACTGACCACTATGGCTGCATTAGGTGCGTAAAGTCCTATACTGTTATGTGTTGCGTCAAAATGTGAAAATCAGATCAGATCTCTTGATATGTGAGCCAAGATAGCCAATGAAAACATCTATTGTATTATTTGTACGTCAGTTTTCATCAGTAGTACCATTGAGAACTCCAGATTCAAGATCCGCAGGGTTTTAAAAACAACTTCTGGGTGCTAGATAAGCCAATGGAAAAACAATTCTAAGATGTCCGCGCCCAGCTGCATATACAAAGGTCCACACTGAGGTATCTGTCACATTATCAGTGGTTTGAATCGTAGCATAATAGCATATTAGCTTTTCACAAGAGAGGTATGCTCCTACATTACACTGACTTTATGTGATAATGATAATAAATCATTGCTCAAAGTGGACTCGAAAAAATTAAGGATGTTTGTCTCCTTGTCCGGTTTGTTTTGGTATCCTTTTGGACTATTAACTTGTCGCTCTCATAGTAAGTAAGGCAAGTACCTCTACTTGAAAGTAAGGGATGCGTTCAACGGCTTACCGCGGATTTTCCCGCAGGAGTAAAAAAGCCGGGTCACACTTTCTTCTTCTTGTACTGTGATAAACTGTGTTCATCACTCGGGGGAAAGTCGTCTAATGCACAGAACCCTCGCATGAATCAATACCAACACATGATTCACTCTACAGCTTGAGAGAAGATATACTCTGCCGAAATAGTCTGGGGACATGAAATCTGGTGGATTGTAAACCGTATAACATTTGCTCTGACTTCTTCAACCCCATGACAAGCAGAGGAAAATCCTCCGGAGAGAAACGAAAATCCATTAAGTGGTTACCGAAGATGGCAAGAGGAGAAGACATTTGCGACTAGGCATGAAGATACAGTCTCAGGATTACATGCCAACATTTGCAATGAGAAAGGCGGTGTCTGTTGGAGAGGCTAGGCTCTGACCTACCTATAACGTCATGGCGAGCCGACAATGCATTCTGCCGGCGGTTTAAACAAAATGCTCTGTTATGTTGAACTGCCGTATCTGGGATATCATTGCCAGTTTGTGTTTTTTAAGCAACGACCTTTTTTAAAACAACTGAACAGTGGTTTGCGGAACAGGTGATTTAGATAGCTAGGGGTAGATGAGTTGTAAAATCGGCAGGCTGGCAAGTGCGACATCTACGCTCCTCGTAGTCTGGAACATTTTGCCGTTAAGAGAGTACGTTTTGAGCATTCTATATTATATTTATATTTCTCGCTTGTTCAACGTCTAGACGGGATTGGTATGCAGTTGCCGGCCTTCCATGGTCTGTGCGTAATAGTATTTCGGGAAGTGGGGTCGAGGTGCGGTTGCTTAATAGTTTGGCGTTTATAAGAACAAATGCACAAAAACGTTGTGCAACACAGCAAAACCACTAATTTATTGTTAGTGCACAATACAAATATTATAAACTATTCGCACATCAAGGGAATTCAGGTTGGTATTTTTCGATGTCTTGGTACTAAATCAGAATGAGCATTTCTAATTCTCAATAACATGTTGTTCATGTTACGTTTTGAGGTTAATGAGACTGATGAGTTTTTACATCAATAACCTGTAAGTTACTTATGTTCCATTCAGTCAATTAATATGAAGAATACATCCAAAGCTGGAAGAATATTTATTTATAGACGAATCAGAGCACGTGCAACGTACGCCCACGAGGTCCCCTTCAATGGAGAAACCATAGTACAGGCGATTGTACAAAGCAACTGTCCCATGATGGATTATTATTTTTTTGTTTTGTCTTGTCTGTTTTGTTTTGTTTTCGCTTCTTGTCTGTTTCCTTTCGGAGGTTGGGTTTTTTTTTGTCTGTGGGGCCATTTGTTTCTTGTTGGATTGTCTCTTTGGAGTCTGTTTTTTTTTGGGGGGGGGTTGTTTTGTTTTGTTTCTTTGTTTTTTGTGCAGTTGCACGTTTTTTTTGGTTTTTTTAGATATTAAGTTATCTTGGGGGTGTTTTCCTTGCTTTTTCTTGTTAATATGGTGCAATATATAAAGTTATTACATTAATTTCAGGAATTTGTGCTATTTTACAGGGTTTTTCTTTTCGCCCATGGGATTATGTGTTACAGTGTAAGTTTGCTATAATGTTTGTGTTTTTGCAAAATAGGGTTTTTAGTCTTGCTGTGGGAGAGCTACTTGACAGTGATTTAGTTCACTTTTTAGCAATCCCGCAGGGGCGTGCAACTATTTTGGTGTAAGGGTTTTAGTCCTTTTATAAGGTTTAATGTGTATTTTTTTAACTGTGTCTTTTTTATGTCTATACTGTCTGTAATATTATTATTATTTTTGTTTTACCCATTGTAAATTTGACCTGCGAAATAATAAATGAAATGAAATTATCTGAACAATAGCTAGCACAATGCTGTCACCACTGAAGGGGGCCTTCATGGTAGAATTAATTGATGGATTGGCGCATACAGTAATTACCATTTATACGCTAGAAATTGCGCCCGCTTGCCATGATACGAATGTGAATGTAACTGTGTTCTTGTATTGTACAGATGGTAACAATTCCGGTACGCTATAGCAGTTTTACCTGGACGACGTTGTAATAAGGCGCCACTTCATTAACCACCAAGGCTTGGCGGGAAAGAATCGGTCCCCATGACATCAGTAGAGTTGGCCCCTCGTACAGGAGATCGTTCAGCAGCTCCAGTGCCTCATTAGGCTTACCCTGCGGATAGAAAAGGTTGGACAAACTACATTTCATTTCAGACGAATGATGATCTTTTTCCCCTGGTTAATGAGTCCCTCAAAGTACAGCGACATGGCTAAGGAGGGCTTTGTCTGACGTTTTGTGTGTTGGGGTGGTTTTTTATTACTTTTACTAATTCATATTTTCTTATCCTGGCGTTTGTAAAGTACTATACATTCGTTTTCTCCATTATTGTTATCTTAATTTATCAACTGTTTCAAATCTTAAATTTAAATTTTAAGTTTAACTGAGGATTTGTTTTTTTCTGATTTGTTTGGATTTAGTCGTTATTCTTCTTATGTCCAATTTAATTTAATTGGATTGTTGATGTTGTATTGTGAATGATATATATATTATGTTTTGTTTTCATTCAAATTATCTAACTGTTTTACTTATGTTTATGTAAAGGAACCAGGGCCCTTATGGAAAGCAGTTTTCTAACTGATAAGGCCACCCTGTATAAATATGACAGCAAATAATAATAATAAAAAAAAAATTTTTGGGGGGGGGGGGGGGGTTGGGGTTGGGGGGGAATTGGGACCCGCCCAAGCCTGTGCCCTATTTGAAGCCGCTTTGACTGAAACCCATTGACTGCCACCTCCAGAAATTGAGGCCCAAATATCCTTGCCTTGGAAAATGAACCCTGGTCAATTGATGGTCTGACGATTCCTTAGTCATCACAGGAAGCTTATTAATTGCACACCAATGCAAACCAAATATTAAATTTGACATTTTAATTCTCTGAACTCGTTCTTTTAACATCATGAGCGATGTTTTCCTTTTGAGATTCGGTATACTTTAGACAAAGTTTCCATCAGAATGTACCTTGATATCAGCAATCATATTCTAAAAGCATCAACGAGGCAAAATTCTTCGGTATCGCTGCATTTATAGCGGAAGTAATGTGAGAATGTTCCAACAAAGTTCACATTGAATCAATTGTATCGATCTTTGTGGTCAATGACTTTTGTATAACCGAATAAGCGAAATCCACGCATTTTAAAGTGTACTAAACCGGGGAAATTCGCCCTATGTCCCGTCATGGGTGAGACGATCGTTAATCAGGCGTTAAACACTTAACGTCGCATTCAAGCTGTGCGGACGGCCCAGGAATGAAGAAAACTCATGAGATTTGAGGTAAAAGCTTTTGATAAACCTCTTAGCAGCCCTATATGATTCCTTTTATCCTAATAATCCTTTTGAAGGCAATGTCTGAACATTGAGTAGCCAACTACAAAGAGTAGAATTGATGTTTCCCCCTTCGATATTTAGTTACAACATACAAGAAGTGAACCATACATTTACAGTTTTTTGTAACTTTTTTTTCCCCATCTTTTAAGGAATCGTCACTTCGTTTCCACGTTAATAGTCTTAACTTATATAATTGTTATAAAGTTACAATGACTTATTTTTTTGGCAGCATACATACAGCTGACCATCAAATCAAACCTGACATTATTTTCTCGTCAAATCTCACAACCTTGCTTTAATGCGCATGTGAATGTAGTAGTATGTATCGTACTCCGGCACCACTTTGGTGGTTGCGCGTATAATGTCAATGATCCCACATTTGCTGTACTTACATTGGTCAGTCGGAACCGCATTCTCAGCTCATATCCGTCCAGGATCCCCGTCAGATTGTTCACGTGATCGATGGCTGTCTGAACGGTCCGTGGTAAAGCACCGAAGATGGAGTTGTTGGGAAAGGCAAAGAACCCTCCGATGTAGATAGGCGTCCGCTGGCCGGACACCAACGGGTCAGATGTCGTGTTGGCCACGGTGGCAGAGGTATTAGGATCGAACGTCGCTCCGTTCGCTTGGAAAAGCGCAACAGTATTTGCCACGAACAAGTATGAGAGCAGTCTCGTGGCATGCATGGTGCCGTCTGGTCAGAAGTCTATTTCAGAAAAATCCTGAAATCATCCTTCGAATCACATCTGTGTGAGAAAGAAAATGGTCACTTGTAGACCCTTCTTGCCAACGAGAACATTTGACCGACAAATTACAAATACCTTTCATCTTTTCCCTCTCTTCTTATGATCGAATCACGCGTCCACACGGGTTATTTATTAATAGAACGAGGTTAACTGCAATTCCTGTCCTTCCAATTGTTGGCCTCTTGGCACCGGGAATGATCGACTTCATTTGCGACACGATGGCACAGACATTTTTATAGTTCACACCGGCTGTTAGAACTTGTGTAGCGATGGTGAATCATTGCAGCACGCACTGTGGCGCCATTAATAGGTCCGCAAGTAGAAGCGAATTGCGGGAAATAAGTGCTGCATTCTAATGATGAGACACATCGTCTATGATATTCGCTCAGATTCGGCGATTATGCAGAACAAGATTGCGCCTTGACATCCGGATTCTGACCATTCAGCGGGCGCCTTCTATCGGATATTCCGTAACCCATTGTCGCATTTCAAAACATGGCATTCAAATGGACCAATCAAGAGCTTAGTGCACATTAAATGGCGTCAAAGTTTCTAAAGTTGACTCTGATTGGCCGGTGCGCGGGGTCGCACGATAAATCAGACGTTCGTACCGTGGCTCTCGGCGCGTGATCGTCTGAACCTCAGACTGCTTTAAGACTCGCGCTTGCAATTCAATCAAAATGGGTACCGGTACTATATAAACCAGATGCGGGAACGCTATCTTCTCACGCGAGCCCCCCCCCCCCATGTTCAGGATACAGTTGCTCTGTACAATATCAATCCTTCGCCATTAAAGGGGGCCTCCGCGGGTGTACAGTGCTATATTTAGAAAGAGACATCCATGGTAGACACGTTTCAAGCCTAATTATTTGATATGGAGAGCTATAGGCATATATGTCAGAAAACACGTTTTGTAAAAAAATGTTTCGGAAAAAGCTATGCCTTTTTAGATATAAAAATAATGACCTTTCTGGTGAATGTCTTCCTCAAAAACATTAATAAATGTTGTGCTTGTTTAAAACGTTGCACACTCTGTTAGACAAATTAGGCCCTCCCAAAAAATAGTTCTGCTTCCGGTTACCCTACCTACCCTATTCTGACAGCCCCTACCCTAATTTGTCTTTGGGAGAAATGAGGAAAAACACTAAAAATCATCAATTACTACCTTTTGCCCTTGACTACACGTAGACACCTCCATTATGATCGTACACAAAAAAATGCCCCCCCCCAAAAAAAAAAAATTCCCTACCTACCTTCCCTATTTTCAAATGCCATCTAATCGGAAGCAGAAATATTTGCTTTTTGGCCTTAGCGAAGACAATGAACTGAAATGTGCCTTGTATCTCGGTGCTACCTTTTTTATCAATTTAAAAAGAAATGATGCATTCTTCGCATTACATGTGCGGCCCGTGCGTATTACTGACAAGGAAAAGAGAGATTGTGTGAAGATGATAGAGCATGACATCTTGTAAAACTGACGTCGGGGTGGAAGAAGTAGGTGTGCGCATAGTGCATGCAACTTATCACCCATTTTTCATGGATATTATTTATACGCGGGCTACCGCACGATTTGAGTCATATCGTGTGGACAGTGATGTGGAGTTAATGCAAAATATATCGAGCGGAATGGGGAAGGGCAACCGTTTAAAGGCACATAGGATGATTTGCAATTTATCCCAAAATAACCTGCCGAGTTAGTAACAAATATCTTACTTGGATTATACTCATATACTGGTACTATAACGCCCCGTGAAATTATTCCGTCCGGCGTGCTGTCATAACGAAGAAATCAAGAAGGATCAGTCAATTGACCGATATTTGGAATAAAATGTGCTATTGAGAAAATCGTGGATTTATTTTATGTGATCAAAAGGTTGTGTCTTGTTTTTCACTGTTTTCTCAAATAGAGTAATCCACTGAGCTGAAACTTGAACAGGTAAGGCTTTGAACGTTTAGGCCTAAAAACGAACACTGCCTGAAAAGCAGATGGTCCTAAATGCCTCGAACATGCTCTTAAAAGGCTAGACATTAATGGGAGACCGACAAATGAGAAAACAGGATTGCAGGTGTCACTGAAATGGTTTAACACATTTGCTCTCGATAATTCGGCAATGCTACATGCGCATAACGTTAGCCTCGTGATATTTACGTTAAATAGGTTATGGAATGGCCAGCATTACTCATGCTTCAAGCCCACTCAACAATTGGATTGACCATAAACAGATTAATACATCGCCTAGTCAATATTCCCCACAGACTTCCCCCTGCCCGTGTTCGTAGTCGTGTCACCGTAAAGCAGTCATGTGAGTGTGGTCATGAGTTGCTAGGTTGTGCATGATGGTGGTCTTCAGTTGCTCAGCTGTGCGTGTTTTCATTAGTTGCTCAGTCGCGCTAAGTTTGGCTCCATCAATCGAAAGGGTTATACTGCAGGCTTTTTAGAAGTTTTGTTTGCAAACGAGTGGTGTTTATGTTGTTCCTTTGAGTCTCAACCCCGCCTCCCCTCCCGAAGCCGCCGTGCTATCACTGTCCGAACGCAGATTATAACATTCGTTCGATGCAGCACTTGTAACTAATGGTGCAAACAAATCATGAAGTGAAGCGTTTATGACGTATTACTATACCTCATAAATATTCATCAGGCAACCGCAACATTTCATTGGTCCATTCCAGCAACTCAACTGTGTGAACGTTTTTACTATCACCCCGCGTCCTCGCACGCACGCGTGACGCGCAAAACCAGGGAGGTACTATCACACACCTGGGTCGCAGCCTTAGATTTGTTCCAGTACTGTAATATCTCTTTACCAACGACGCATGTGCTTTTACGTGCGTACCGTGGAGAACACCAGTGAGGACAGTTGCTTGTGCCAGTCTATTACGGCATACATCAAAATGGTGACCGGTGGTGCTCGCATGCAGTGTTTTGCCTCGGGAGATAGTCCCAATCATCCAACACCTCGGGGTAATTAGTTTTCACTATTTCCCGACAAACCATGCTATATTTTTATATTACCACATTCTATTGACCCCAATATTTCACAAGTCTAACCCGTACGGGCTAATGAATCACGCCGGGACCAAGTTGGCCGTTGAAACATTGCTAAAGACCTATTTTTTTCACGTGGTGCAAAATGGTGACATATCGACAGCTAAGACATAATGTGGTGTACTAAAGGTGACAGCACCATTTAAAATGATTCATTGTTAAAACAAAAATGGGTCGCAAGGATGTTTCAGAAGACAGACATGGAAATATGGACTTTGATTTAGTGGCGTAAGGAGGGTCCCATTTTTTTTTTTTGGGGGGGGACACTTTTGGCATTGTTTCCCGGAAGTGGACACTCACTGTCTTTCGAGCAATATAAAAGCTTTCTTTGGCACCTTCCAATTCTGGGCAGGAAGGTGGGGGTGGGGGGTTGGGGGGTAGGGGGTAGGACAATCCTCAGTGGGGTGAGGATGTCATGAACCTACCCCGTACCCATCAGTTACGCCACTGCTTTGATTTGTGGAGTGCTGTGGCCTCGTATTTAAGGGCACTGGATTCGTGGTCTGTGGGTTGTGGGTTCGAGTCCAGCCTGGGGTCATGGCGCGTGTGCCCTTGGGCAAGGCACTTTGTCACTTATTACTTCTCTCCACCCAGGAGTAAATGGGTACCTGTGAGGGCAGAGATGATTATTGTGATTGAATTAGCTTCCTTGCGCCTAACAGGCTGCATCGAGCTGCATACCCCCCAGGGAGCTGAGATGGTATTTGGAATGTTTAATTGGCCCAATGATCAGGGGTAATAATAATATAAAGCGCTTTGATCTTAGTGTATATAAGAACCCGTTATGATTATTATTAAACAATTACCCGTTCCATGTGCAGCATTTTCCGTATTATCTTTTTGGGATGACAGATACAAAAACCCGTTGATGATCTTTAATTGTCAGGAATTAAACTTGCTGTTTGGTGGAGAGTTCCCTCCCAATATTTTTTTCGTGCATGTTATATATGAATAGGTAGGCTAAACAGACCGAATGACGTATGCATGGACTGTACGGTTCGGGAAATTGCGACGAGATTGCGGACAAACTCGAACTAACTGTATGGTACGATCTTCAAGTTACATAGGAAGCAACAAAGTTGCTCAAAATCTTAAGAAGAATGCTTAACAACTAACTTTTTTTCGTTTTAGCTCAGTGGGCACTATACGTTTTGAGAAAACAGAGAAAAAATATGCACAGTGTGTGATGTCTCTTAACTAAGGCACATAAAACTGTGCCCACAGGCACTCCTTCTTAAACCACCTTCACTGATTGTTTTGTTTTTCCAATAAAACCATTTCAGGCGGAGTAATTTCACTTTGAGCAAGGATTTTTTTCCGTTAAATCGGTATATACATTACCAGGTTAATGCAAATGTTTCTAAGTGCCTTTACTTAAGTTTAAAAAATAGGCGAAAAAATGGCGAGTTATCTGTGAATTATGAAAGACATGGTCTTTCGTCAGCTGTCGTCGCACCCTGCATCCCCTATTTTCAACGAGTTACCACTACCGGTAGCATTCCTATATAGAGTTTTAGATATAACTATAGCAATAATTGGTTTGTGCGTTAGCCTAAACGGGTTTGCATGTATACAGTTTTCAGTGAACCATTATGTGACCATATACCATTGTATTACTTATGTATACTTGAAACCAAAAGGTGGTACCTTAAACACGAAATATAAAAATGCAATGGAAAAGCAAATCACACACGTTTAAAAACACTTCCCAGATTTAGCCAGGTTAAAACAGGTTGAACAGGTTCTTAAAAACTATTTTCGTTGCATGAAACGTATTATGATACATATATATCGAAATGATTTGAACAGCTCTCTCACCTTTTTTGTCCGGATATGCACTGGCTTGAAGGCAAGGACTGGGCTTCGAGAGTACGGATTAACATGCCTGTTCATGCATGCCTTGTGACCATGGCCAACTTAGTCAACGGTTCGTCAAACGGC